TGTTAGCGCTAGACCGTCGATAGCGCTCGAAATCCGACTTAGGCAGCGTGAGTAGCTTCTCCATCGATTTACCCAGGTTCATTAAAATATTTGCCGAATCAAATTCCTTGTCGGCATCAATAGCATAGACACCGTCCTGATAGTGCAGGAACATGGCGGCAGGCGCTCGCAAAAGCCGCGTGAAGGTCTTCAACTCTTCATTGAAGCCCTGAGACAAGCTGCTAGTGTCGACGGGTCGCCAAGCGGACAGCAGGTAGTGAAAGTGTGACAGCACGGAAGTCATACTCGAAGAGGATCCGATGTATTTCCTGCCCGCCTCGCGTGCGAGCGAGTGCAGTTGTTTATCCTTGGAAGATGTGATGTAATCCTTCAAAGCTTGGAAATCGAATTCGGTAACAGGCATGATGGCACCCAAGTACGGATCGAAGTTGTAAACTCGGGATCTTGGGTCTCGCAGCGTGTAAACTCCCTGGCTGAACAGTTGTTAGGTCTCGCGGCTATAGCATTGTCACGCCTTGAACAGAGAGGGTGGCTCTTACTTGAACAAGACTCGATCTAGTCCAAATGCTAGGCCGGGAACATCCGTTGTTTTCACCGGGAGCGCTGCGCAACAGTCAGTTCATCGCTTTTTTTTTTTTTTTTTTTTTATAGCGGCTCAGGCTCGTGAAAAAAGCTCGTGACACACGCACCTTTTAAAGCCTGTCGCGCTTTGAGTTTACCAGAAGTGGTTTCTGTTGTTCTAGCAAAGATCGGAATCCTCCCCGCGAGTGGATCAAGATCCGGCTCCTTTCTCTTAGAAGCTTCGTCGGGCAAGCCGTCTACTTTGGAGACTTCGTTGTGGTCGGCCTCAGGATGCGACTTTGACTGGGGCTCCGATGTAGGCTGTTGATTGATGTCGGATTGATTGAGAGCCGGAGTACTAGGTAGGCTCTCAGCCTCGGTGCTAGCTGAAGCCTGGGAGCGCAGGCGAGACCTGCTCTGGAAAGAACGCGCCCATAGCTGCTGATGCGGAGGCGCACTCAAGCCACGGGAAAGACACGACCAGCAGACGTGACCCCTCGTGGGGGTCACGGCGGACCGCCACGAAGCCCGAAGCATTCGGGGCTATATCGATGGGTAAACCGAATTCGAGGTGAAGTTGAATATAAGGATGTGGAGGAATTGGGAAAGACCAATACAAAATGGATGATGGGACCTGATGGGACCAGACGAGGAGAAGAATTGGAAACCTCCGGGCGGCAAAAGTTGATGGTTGCTCTTATCACTTTTTTTTTTGCCGCTTTGACAGGTTCAACAGTTCAACAATCGGAATCGAATTCTTTCTGCCCGCGGGAAGCGGAAGGCGGTAAAACAGCCCGACCGCCTCGACACTCAGACCAATCCCATCAATCCGGGGTCGGGGCAAATCACCGCTTCCCCGCCGGGCGGCCAACCCAGGCAAAATCCGACATCGCTGCTAAAAAAAAATTGACTTTTTAAACTTCCCCCCCACCACCCCTCCAACCATCAACTTCGTGGGTTGTTTGAATTCATCCCTTTCTTTTTTTCTTCGCGCAGGTCGCTTGCTAGGTGAGTTGCTGAAGGTTGTCTGTCTTTCTTGGTGCAGACATTGAGAAATCACCGTACGGGATTCCGTCAGATTCAAAGCAGAGACAAAAGATGGAGAAAGACAAGAGAGACTCCACTTCAACTCTTGAGTATTGACTGACTCAATTCTCCCCCCCCCCCCCTTCCCTCTCTCTATGAGAGCTTCCCTCCCAGGCATCGCTCATCTTTTGTCTTCTTATTTTTTCTTCTTCCCTTTCCCCTTTCCTTTCTCCGTTTCGCCTAATCCTTCACTATCCTTGACTGCAATTGACTCTTATCGTCCCACTCTGCAACCACCACCCCCACCATTTCTGTCCCGTCCCATACTAATTTCGACCCAACTCCCTCAGGTTCACTCGAGCCCATTGCGCCTCCCCTCCTCCCTTCGCTCACCATGACTACCGAGCGGTTGCGCGTGCTCATTGTCGGCAATGGCGGTCGTGAACATGCGCTGGCCTGGAAATTGAGCCAGTCGCCCCGCGTCGAGACCGTCTTCGTCGCTCCCGGAAACGGCGGTACCGGCAGCGGTGCCTCAGAAAAGATTCAGAACGCCAACGTCAAGGGTGATGATTACCCCGGACTTGTGGCCTTTGCCCAACAGAACGGTGTGAACCTGGTGGTACCTGGTCCCGAGGCTCCCCTCGTGGACGGCATCCAGGGTTATTTCCAGGCTGGTGAGTATTCTCCGCAAACACAAATCCAGGCCACAAAAGTCAGCGCAGCCCCACTAACCACGGTCACGAACAGTCGGTATCCGATGCTTCGGTCCCTCCAAGGCCGCTGCCCGCATGGAGGGCTCCAAGACCTTCTCTAAGGATTTCATGAAGCGCCACAACATTCCCACTGCCGCTTACGAGAACTTCTATGAATATGAGCCCGCTCGCCAGTATCTCGACTCCGTTTCCCACCAGGTCGTTATCAAGGCCGACGGCCTGGCCGGTGGTAAGGGCGTCATCATCCCCACCACGAAGGAGGAAGCCCACCAGGCTCTTCGTGAGATGATGGTTGAGAACCAGTTTGGCAAGGCTGGCAGCGAGGTCGTCATCGAGGAATACCTTGAGGGCGATGAACTCAGTGTTCTCACATTCTCCGACGGCTACACCATCCGTTCTCTTCCGGCTGCCCAGGATCACAAGCGCATCTTTGACGGGGACCAGGGCCCCAACACCGGTGGCATGGGCTGCTACGCCCCGACCCCCATTTCCTCTAAGGCCGTGCTGGATGAGATCGACCGCACCATTGTGCAGCCATCTGTTGACGGCATGAGAAGAGACGGTCCGCCATCATCCCTCCTTTGGTGTTTGTATCACACTAATACGTCTTCCAGGATTCCCCTTCGTCGGCATTCTCTTTACCGGTTTGATGATGACCAAGGACGGCCCTAAGGTCCTTGAGTATAACGTTCGTGGTGGAGACCCCGAGACCCAGACTCTGCTGCCCCTGCTCAGCGATGATACCGATTTGGCCGAGATCATGGTTGCCTGTACGGAACACTGGCTGGACGGTGTTTCCATCAAAATCAAGCCCAACTTTTCCACCACGGTCATTGCCGTCGCTGGTGGCTACCCTGGCTCTTACGCCAAGGGCAAGAAGATCACTCTCGACTCTCCCACCGAAGGGACCCTCATTTTCCACGCCGGCACTAACCTTGTCAACGGCGAGTTGCAGACCGCTGGTGGCCGTGTCATCGCGTCCACCGCGACCGCTTCTAGCCTTGAAGAGGCTGTCCGGAAGAGTTATGAGGGCATCTCTACCATTCACTTCGAGGACATGTTCTATCGCAAGGACATCGCCCATCGGGCTTTCCGCCAGCGCGATGCCGCCGCCGCTCAGAAGGAATCTCTCACCTACGCCGCTGCGGGTGTCTCCATTGATGCCGGTAACGACCTCGTCAATCAGATTAAGAGCTCCGTCGCCAAGACTAAGCGTCCTGGTACCGACGCCGTGATCGGTGGCTTTGGCGGCCTCTTCTCCCTCGCCGCCGCCAACTCCACCTACGACCCCAACTCCCCGACCTTGATCGGTGCCATTGACGGTGTCGGCACCAAGCTCAAGATTGCTCACGCGGCCGGTGTACACAACACCGTGGGTATTGACCTTGTCGCCATGAACGTCAACGACCTGGTTGTTCAGGGTGCGGAGCCCCTCTTCTTCCTCGACTGCTACTCCTGCGGTCACCTCGACGTGCCCACGGCCGCCGCCTTCGTCACCGGAGTCGCCGATGGCTGTGTTCAGGCTGGCTGTGCCCTGATTGGTGGTGAAACCGCTGAGATGCCCGGTCTCTTCGTCGACAACACCTACGACGCTGTTGGTGCTGCCGTTGGTGCCATCAACACTACGGGCCCCAATGCCCGCCCTATCCTTCCCGAGACCGCGGCCATGAAGGCCGGCGACGTGCTGCTGGCCCTGGCCTCTTCGGGCCCTCACTCCAACGGCTACTCGCTGGTCCGCAAGGTCGTCGAACGCTCCGGTCTTAGCTACGATGCCGCCGCTCCCTTCACCATGCCGTCTGCCACCGGGCCCCAGACCCTCGGCCAGGCCCTTCTCACTCCCACTCGTATCTACGTGAAGCCCCTTCTCAAAGCCCTCTCTATTCCCTCCGCCACCCCCACTGCTCCCAACTCTTCCGCCATCAAAGGTCTTGCTCACATCACCGGTGGCGGTCTGGTCGACAACGTCCCCCGTATGTTGCCCTCAACCCTGACCGCACACATCAACGTGGAGGGCTGGAAGCTGCCCTCGGTCTTCGCCTGGCTCAAGCAGACTGGTAACGTCGAGGCCATTGAGATGGCCCGCGCCTTCAACTGCGGTGTCGGTATGGTTATTGCCGTCGAGAAGGGCTCCGAGGCTGCCGTCAAGGACCTCCTCCAGAAGGAGGGCGAGACCGTTTATGAGATCGGAGAGCTCCAGGCCAGAAAAGAGGGCGAGGAGGGATGTGTCCTCACCGGATTGGAGAGCTGGGACGCTTAAAAGAAAACCTATCCTGAAATGATTTTATACCAACTGCTGCGATAATTGTTTTTTTTTTCCTTTTCCTTTTCTTTAAAACCTGAATGAAAAGTGTCATTGTTTCCTTTTTCTCATGCATCCTCTTCCTCGGGATTATGTTTAGATGAGGAAGTGGTGTGATTGATGTTGATTACGATTTGTGCTATGCCACCAGAGCACTGTTTGCCTGGTTTCTTGGATGTATCTATGATTTTATTACATATACCTCCTCTCGATGAGAGTGACATTTCTTTATGTTCGAGCCCCAGCACGAGCATGATGAACATCTATATAATTGATGGATTCTTAACCTGATTCTCGATATGCCATCCAGGCCAATAAATCGAACAAGAAACAAAGAAAATTCCTATTGACTCTTGTCCGACAGCGGGCATGCTACTTGGAATAGTTACTACTTCAATTCTCTGCATTTTCCTATAATACTTCGAGTAAATAGATCTTGTGTTATTCCTTGCTGTCCCAATTTCTCTCCCTCTGACAACCCACTACATACATACTCCTGCTGAACCTACCTCAAATCACGTGTAAGGCAGAAAGCAGGGCGAGGCCGATACCCCCCCAGAGCCAACAGTACGGAACCAGGACACGAGATTGACTTAGCCTGGTCATGGGCCCGGTAGACGAGAAGGTCCCTAGCCAGCCAAGAAAAGATGACATCATGAGCAGAGCCTCAATGCTCAAGCAACATGTATGAGTATCGACTGCAAACAAAGCCGGGGTAGACTCCGCCAGGAAATGGGAATTATCGGATGGCGGACGCAGAACTGTTTCAAAAATGGCTACGGCAGGTGTGACTATGGTGAGCAGGTTTGCGGAGACATCATATTTGCAGTAGCAATTCATAGTGTCACAGCTGAGAAGGAATACGCGTGCAAGACTTAAACACGAGTGTAAAAGACTTATATGAAGAAAGCTTTCCCCAGACTGACCACAAGTCCCATATACATCTCGGTCCTACACCATTGCCTGGTCCGCTTGTCGCCGGATTTTCCGGGCGGTGGCCAGGGATGGTGGCCCTGGGCCAAGTGGCAAGCGTGTTTCAAAATGAAAAAAAAAGTAAAAACCATCTCTATTCGACAGCTAAAATAAAAGTTCCTTTTTCAGGCGATCTTCCTCCTAGTGCGAGTCAGAGAGGGCCCGCCAGTCACCAGTGTCTCCGTCGGGTCTTTTGATACATGAGGGAATATGAGAGTACGAAACGAATCACGCGCAAGAGCTACCAGAAATTAGCACACGTGCCAGTTCACCAAAGAACGCAACATACCTTAGAAGCACTTGCGGTGGACGATGGAGGGACCGCTCTCGTCGTACTCCTGCTTGGAGATCCACATTTGCTGGAAGGTGGAGAGGGAGGCCAGGATGGAACCACCGATCCAGACGGAGTACTTGCGCTCGGGAGGAGCAATGATCTTGACCTTCATCGAGGAAGGAGCAAGGGCGGTGATCTCCTTCTGCATACGGTCGGAGATACCAGGGTACATGGTAGTACCACCAGACTAATTCATCATTAGTGGAAGCTCATGGGGGGAAGAATCGAACACAGAAACTCACCATGACAATGTTGCCGTACAGATCCTTACGGACATCAACATCACACTTCATGATGGAGTTGAAGGTGGTGACGTGGATACCACCGCTTTCGAGACCCAGAACGCTGGGTTGGAAGAGAGCCTCAGGAGCACGGAAGCGCTCGTTACCAATGGTGATAACCTGGCCGTCAGGAAGCTCGTAAGACTTCTCGAGGCTGGAGCTCTGGGAGGCGGTCTGGATCTCCTGCTCGAAGTCGAGGGCGACGTAGCAGAGCTTCTCCTTGATGTCACGGACAATTTCACGCTCAGCGGTAGTGGAGAAAGTGTAACCACGCTCGGCCAAGATCTTCATGAGGTAGTCCGTCAGGTCACGACCGGCCATGTCAACACGCGAGATGGCGTGGGGGAGGGCGAAACCCTCGTAGATGGGAACGACGTGAGTGACACCGTCACCAGAGTCCAGAACGATACCAGTGGTACGACCGGAGGCGTACAGCGACAGGACAGCCTGGATGGAGACGTAGAAGGCGGGGGCGTTGAAGGTCTCGAAGACGATCTGGGTCATCTTCTCACGGTTGGACTTGGGGTTGATGGGGGCTTCGGTCAAGAGAACGGGGTGCTCCTCAGGGGCGACACGGAGCTCGTTGTAGAAGGTGTGGTGCCAGATCTTCTCCATGTCATCCCAGTTCGTGACGACACCGTGCTCGATGGGATATCTGAGAGTGAGGATACCACGCTTGGACTGTGCCTCATCACCGACGTAGGAGTCCTTCTGACCCATACCAATCATGATACTGTGAATTCATTAGATTCATTGGGAGCCCGTTTCGGATTGAAAAGGGGGAAAGCTTTACCCATGGTGACGGGGACGACCGACAATGGAGGCTGAAGGCAATGGTTAGCATCCTGGAATGATGGCAGAAAGAAGAGACGATTCACCGCCCGCTCTCCTCCCCCGCAATGATAGCCACTCAATGCAAGGGAGCCGTATAAGCATGCCTTGCAGAGGGTGTGGCCATCACGAGGGTAGGGAGGGGTAGTTCGAAAAGCTGGTGGGGGGAGGGGGGATGACTTACGGAACACGGCACGGGGAGCATCGTCACCGGCGAAACCGGCCTTGCACATACCCGAACTAGAGAAGACCAGTCAGTAGAAGCTTCGCATGAATCATGGTTAAAGCTCAATAGCCCTCATGTTTCCCAAAGCTCGAGGATGGAGATTCAGGCAAGTACGTCGGCGACCGGGAGTTGTTTAGGGCCGCGACCGGAGCCGACACGTATGTTTTGCCATCTCACCCCCCAGCATGGGCGGAACATGAGGAACGAGCTCCATTGCCAGAAACCATCATCGATTCCAAAACGTACCCATTGTCAATGACGAGAGCAGCAACTTCCTCTGTAGATTCGAAAGGAAAACAGTTAGCGAAATGCAGCAATGTTGAGTTGGTGAATGATGATGAGACGAGGGGAGGGGGGGGGAGGGGGGTTGGAGGATAGAGGACGGTTTCAGGGGAGAGCTTGGGGGAGCAAGCGAGAGAGACGCAAGGTGGCCGAAAGCTTACCTTCCATGGTGACTGTGGGATTAAGAATCGAACTACGGAAAGAAAAAGAAAAGAGAGAAGAGAATTAGAGGGGGGGGAGGGTAGTTTGTGGTGGTGGTGAAGTTGGATGGGTGGTGGTGGTGATGATGATGATGAGATGGGAGAGGGAGGAAGAGGTAGGAAAGGAAGAGGGAGAGAGGGAGAGAAGGTAAGAGAAGGCGGGCGGGAAAAGAGAGTTGAGTGAGTTATTGGTAGAGAGTGAGTGAGAGGCAAGAGATTAGGAGGCCGGCGGGTGAGGGTGTGTAGTCAGCAAAACACAACACAACACAACACAACACAACACAGAACAACAAGACAAGAACAAGAAAACCACCACAAACAACAACTTTGGCAGCAATTAGTGGATTAAGTCAATTGATGGGTCAGAATCGGGTTCTTGAGGTCTGGCTTACGGGAGAGGGGGGTTTTATTTCCTAGATCTGGTGGTCTCTGGTGGTCTCAGGAGGAAGACGAGGGAGTTGTGTACTGAACTCTTCGGTAACAGTACTGTATAGTTGTCCTTCTGGGACGGAAACAAGCCCAAGGGGGGGGGGAGGCAGAATGGAGGGGGGAAAGGAGGGAGGGAGGGAGAGAGAGAGAGAGAAAGAGAGAGATAGTGGGGGGTTTGTCTAGACTGGTCTGAGTCTAGTTTGAGCGTAAAGCAGTTCGTTGATTGCACCAGCTCAACTTAGTGAGTCTTTAGTGCCAGTTGCTGTCACCGCCACACTACCCAATTCGGGGAGGGCCTCACAAATGGGGGGGTGGAAAAACTGGGTAATGAACGGAGAACGAGAAGCCCAGAGGAGAAGATGGGAGCGGCGGGAGGAGGAGGAGGAGGAAGAGGAGGAGGTAAATGTGTAATGCGAATACGATTCCCGAACCACAAGCTCAATAGATTCTCATCCTCTCTCCCTTTCCCATCTTATATACACCCTTCACTCATCATTCCAAGTTCCCTTCCACACACCCCAATCACTCAAATAGTGGTTGCCTTCAGGCAGAATGATTGTTGCTGCGGAAAGTCTGGAGTCTGGAGTAAAAGCATTGCTTGCGCATTGCGCATCCCTCGTGGGGCACAATCGATCCTGATCCAGGGTTGCTGTCGTCGCCGCCGTCCGGACCAGAGAACAGGTTGCTGAATGAATGTCCGATGATGCCACGCGCGATAATAATAGCTTAGTCTAGTCTCTAGGCCAAGGAATCATCATCGCTCCATTTTCCTCCTCTTTACCCCCCCCTCTTCCACAAAAACTCCTGATAGTCGGACGGTCGGAAGGCCCCTCCGGCTTCTGGATCCCTCTCCTTTCCTTCGATTCGAAAGAAATAATGGAGCCAGTAGTTCAAGGGGTTAGGTTGTTTATTGACTTCACGTAAAGTGTCGGCCCCTCATTCATCTGGACGTTTTCTAGCGTTACTGTCATTTGTGCTCGGTGTCCCTGAACGGGTCCATGATCATCTTTCCTCATTTCTGACCGACCGGAAAGAGGGTCAATTTTCGGAGGAAGGCTCGACAAAACCCGAAAGGTAATGTAAACAATTAGTGCTTCGTTGGTAATCTGGCGACTATCGATCGACTGATGCCTGATCATTCATAACCGCCCCTAATGTGATTTGATTCTTTTGGGGGGGATTAAGGGGAGGGGCCGATTTTACGAGCATCTGGACCAATTGCTTATCCTCGACGAGGATGTACCCAAGGTTTTGTGTTCGCCTAATCACGACGACCAAGGACTACATGCAATGTCAGATGACTGGCACGATGTGTTTGAACGATTGACTGTTTTCTTGATCTGATATCACAACTGATCGCATCGCGGGGTATCCGATGGCGGGGTATTCATCGCCAGCACTGCGCAAACAATCCGAAAGCAATTACCGTCCCCAGGAAGAAGATATCGAACCTAGAAGCATGAATGGTCTTAAAAGACCCTCATTGACCAGATGCATGATTGAACGGTAGTAAATAATAGATAGCCCTTGATCGCTAGCTATTGGCAATGTAAGCTGGCGATGGAAGAGAGTGGAAGGGAGCGGGAACCGCATGAACCCTCTGGATCCCTCCCGAACGTCACTCCGGTTTTTTTTTCGCCTGCCGAATTGTTAGTTGTCGAGACTGGCCGGAGCCTTTCCTACTTCCTCAACACCCACCATACCCATAATTATTCCAAACGACTGATTCATTTCTGCTTGTTCTGTAATAGTACATTTTGAAGTCGCAGTCACGACTGATCGATCTATTTTTCCAAGATCCGACACTTTCTGCTCTAGAGCCCCTCCACAATGGACCCCAACATGAACAACCTGCTCAAATGGAGCATCAAAGCTTCCACCGAGAACCGCGCCGACGAAGGTGACAACAACAGGGCTACTGCTGTTGCTGATGGTACCACGCAGCCCTCCAGCGCCGCTTCGCGCGGTCTCAATCCCGAGATGCTTTCCGCGCTCTTCGGCGGTCCCACCGACGCCGACCTGATGAAAGCCTCTATGCAGGCACTGCGCTCCGACGAGGTGGATCTCGAGAACAAGCTGATCGCGTTCGACAACTTTGAGCAGCTGATCGAGGGCATCGACAATGCCAACAACCTGGAGCCCTTGGGCCTGTGGACTCCTTTGGTGGAGTTGCTGCAGCACGAGGAGGCGGAGATGAGACGCATGGCGGCCTGGTGCATTGGAACTGCGGTGCAGAATAACGAGAAGGCACAGGATAAGGTATGTTTTCTCCCGCCCCCGCCCCCTTCAAAGCCTCTCTGCCCAGAATCTAACGACAATCTCAGCTCGTCGTTCTCAACGCCCTTCCGAAGCTTGTGACGATCTCCACCACCGATTCCACCCCCAATGTTCGCAAGAAGGCCATCTACGCCATCTCCTCCGCGGTCCGTAACTACCAACCTGCCATGGATGAAGTGACCAAGAGCCTGCCGGAGGGCTACTCCCGCGACAAGATCGACGCTGGCGATATGGATGCTGTGGATGCGCTCATGGATAAGCTGCGCGCTCACCAGGTTGAGTCAGCGTGAGCGGCTTGGCTTTGAAGGCCGAGATTACGGGCTTTGTCGCACACCCTGCACGAATTCGCCACTAGCTGTACGTCCGTAAGGCCGGATCATTGGGCTTGTCGAATCATACGTTACATGAACATCTTCATAGCTCGCCGACGGTAAACTGCTTCCGAGCACAATCAGGCGACTGCATACTTACCAGAGCGTCTTTCCTGGCTACTGATAAAGTTGCCTGTCGATCTGGGAGTCAAACTGCCTGGTGACAAGCACTTGGCTTGGGTCCATGTCGAGACCTGGACCGCCGTGAACCAGCTCATGTCCCGCACTTGGGGCGGGATCATCCGCTTACATGGCTCTGCATGTCATGAGTCCTTACTGCTATGCATGAAAATATACCCACCTTTTTGCCTATTTTGATGATCTGTTGCAATAAGCATTTTACATAGGCTCAAAGAAAGGAAGTCCATTTACGAATACTATATCTTTCAGCCTATCGGTTCTGACGTTTCCTCTTCTCTTGGCAATACGTATACATATATTCCTAGGAAGTTTGCGGAGGCCTAAAGAATGCACCGTAGGCAACACTCATCCACGCAATCATGCCCACTCGACAATTTGTGCCCTTGCTCCTACTCTCGTACCTAAATAAATGTGCCTAGGCAGTCGCAGTCATTGTTGCCATCAGGCAATACACGGTTATTAGATAAATCATCCGAAAACATGTATCACAGAAATAAATAAACATGCGCAATTTAACCGGCTAAACGAATCACATACAACCAAGGACCAACCCACAAATGCATTCAGAGACAACATAAAACAGAAACGCCGATCACGCATAGAAAGAGCACTAGAACTCATTGCTCAACCGGAAATCATAACCTCCCTCCCTAGGCCCAGTAGTGAACCCAATGCCGACCGACCTCCTTTCCATTTTCCAAGCAATCCACCACGTCCCTCTTCAGCCTACCAATCCTTGATCTTCATTCATAGAGCCAAATTATAGGTATAATCGTCTTCAATGTTCTGCGAAACCCAGAGCACCACCGAACTACGCCAACAGCATTAGCCCCCGCCACTTTCCATTGACTTCGCCAGGAAGAAAGAAAACATACCTCAACATGACCAACCCATTAGCAATCACATTCGCGATTCCAAAATACAAGGTGGGAAACGGGTACGACTTGATCAGATACTTGAGTACCATGACCGTCTGCGAAGCGATTGTTAGCGAGTCAGATCCCCTTCCTCACGTAAGACATCAGATGCCCCCCCCGTAAGGCTCCAAGCCCAAGCCCAAGCCCCAACAGAGAAACGAGAAAAGAAAGAAAACAAGAATTAGAACATACCACACTCCCCGCCAACCCCCCAGCCAACAGCGCGAACCCCAGAAACAAGACAAACCGCGCCTTCCATGCGACCCCACTCCCGCTGTAACTGAAGCTATCGGCGTGCAGCCGGGACTTCTCGATCGAATTGATCACCAGCATCCCCAGCGCCGAGCAGATGCCGGGGATCCAGTCGACGAATTTCACGTGCACGTTGGAGCCGTTCTTGGCGCTGTGCGAGAAGGCGGCCGCGTCGATAAGGAAGAAGAAGCCCAGGGAGAACTGTTCGATACATTGAACATTAGTATCAATCACATGGGTTTCGGGTATTTGGTAGCAAGAAAGGGTGGACTGGGAACGCGGAGAGAGAGAGCGAGAGAGAGAGAAGAGGTGAGAGCTTACCAGTGCACCGGAGGTGTAGACGCCTGCATTGCGGACGGCCGAGTTGTTGAGCCATTCAGGCTTGGACCATCGGAAGAGGCGGTTGTTGGAGACGTCCATGTTGCCCGAGCTGATCAAGCTGTAGGTGAGTGAGCGAGTGAAATGGCGGCGCGGTGGTGATTTCGTGGTCCCTGAGTTGAAGGTAAATAGCTAAGGTAGGTAGTAACTTAGAGTATGTTCGGGCTGGTTATCGGCAGGTTGCGGTCATTCGCGCTAGCTTGCCGATGATGATGCAGTTGCTTGCCCGGTCGGAGCTCGGAAGAAATCATCGGCCGGTCGAGGGTTGCATGTATACTCGCGTACAATACAATCAAGCTTCATCCATAGATTGATTTAAACCATGTCATTTGATATTGTGGTATCATATTCTTATTCTAAAGTGATCCCCAGGTTCACGCGAACTTGATTACACCCTCGAACACCTTGACCCTACCAACCCAAGATGCTTACTATGTATTTATCATAACTCATTATTCATCACCTGTACCAGCCAGGCTTAGTTCTCCTCACAGAACAGTCTCAAGAATTCGTCAATGCACGTCATTGCCTTCGCCTTCTCCAACAATGGTGGCGACCCCATCAGCCCACATTCATCTGCAGCCGCCGTCTCCTTCAGATACTTCCGCAACGCGAACGTTGACGCGCGATAGGTCGCGTGGTACATGGCCTTGAATTCATCTTCATCTGTATTCGACCCGGCATCTGCCATGATGCGCGGCTCTTTCTCCTCCGGCGTCTCGTCCTGATAACCCGGTCCGGTCCCGGTTTGCGGTCTACTGGAACCTCCCGTGCGTGTCGCTGTGGGACGGTTGAAGCCATAAAGCCGCATGCAGGTCAGAATCGTCCGCGTGATTGTGTTCTTATTCTCGGCAATGATTGTCCCCACGTCTTTCGGTGTCGTCGGATGTTCAACTTTGCCTCCTGGGGTAAAAGAGGGTGACGATCCACAGTCTCGTTTGATGAATGTAGTTGAAGTAGTAGTGGTGGCGGAGTCGATGAACGGATTGGGCGTACCTTTCCGAGAGCCCAGATCCCGCAGATGGCCCCGTCTGCTGCTGGGTCGAGAGGTATCGAATCGAGACTCAAGCGCCTTCCCTGCAATGCTCCCTCCGATGGAAAGGGACCGTGCTCGCTGCGATGCAATGCGTTCGATCTGAGGAAGAGAAGGTTCCTCGGATTCGCGCTTGATCCGTAGCGCTTGTAGTTGCTGTTGGGAGGCGTGCGAGAGTGAGTGCGCCATTAACTGCGACACCGCTTCACCGCCCTTCTGCCGGACTCTTCTATGATGCTGTGTGACGGAATCGAAGAGTGTGGCAACTCGTTTGCGTTTAGGGCTTGGAGAGTAGATGGCCGGAAGAAAGTAAGCGGACTCGTCATCGTGTATGGAGTCGTCGGTGTTGGGAGGTGCGGATGCGGATTGTGCTCGGGTGATTAGCGATGCAGATATGGGGGTAGCGTAGATTCTGAGTTCTTGTTTGATGACGGGTAGAACCTGGACTTCCAGATCTGGTGATGACGATTCAGGTGGGGTGGGAGGCCTTTCGGAGGAGGTTGTCGTTGAGAGGACGCCGTGGATCAATAGGTCGGTTGTGCCGGTGCTGGTGACCTTGGCTGATGCGCCGTTGTCGACACGAACAAGCAGACCAACCGGGCACTGGAATATTTGCAGCCGGTCAAGTTCGTCTTCTTCCAGCCAAATCGTACTCGTCAACTTGTCCTTGAGCCATGTTGTAGTCTCCGGGTTCCCCGCATGGAGTTCAAGGTTCGGACCAGATCGCGCGTGGAGAGGTATAAGCGCCGGATTGACGAAGCAGCGCAAGCTGAGACATGATTCTGTTGATAGATCAGATTGACAGCTGGATGATCTATCGACTAATCGTAGACCTGAATACAAGATTCAGCAGATGCACGCAAGCAGTTTTGTCGGATTCGGTTTACCGTGGAGTTGTGCTCCGCCCTCTAAGGCGATCGCGCCAGTCCAGACGTCCATTCTGCGTATCTAGATCTATACAAGCAGCTCACATAACGTGAAGTCGCGAGTTATCGGGTAGCGAGAGAATTGAGAATCGTAGGTACACAAAGTTCTTCGCTGGTCGACGTCCGGCGGGTATTTTTACACGAACGCGCCGGCGGAGCGCGATCCCACGTGATCCTATTATGAGTTCAAGGCGGAACGCATCGCCGCATGACGAGGTGACTCGGACAACTTGATAATCTACATAGGATGATCTTACCGGCAATAAGATCGGCCTGTACTGCCAATATTCTATATAAGTGCATAGTGGCTATAATACATCGACCGCATCGCCAAATGACAAACACAAAATCATAACAAACCCCATAAACACGCAAAGTCACCGTAATACTCCTACGGAACGGTAAATCATATCGATGGCTCGTGAAAAAATAAGTTAGACACATTGGGAGGGGGATCGGTTCATGCTAGGTTGAGAAATATTCTGCAGGGTGGGTATCCAACGCGAAGGCGGCCTTGCCGGGAAGCACGGCGCTCGGCTTTCAGAAGTCCTCCTGCTCCTTGAAGAACATCGAGAAGCTGATGATAGTTCCGTAGATGAGGAGACCTCCAACAATTGACATGACCATAGCGGGAATCTCGATCGCACCGCAATGCGCAAGGGCGGCTGGGAGAGCTGTATCGAGTGAATTCGGTTAGCTACCTCGCACGGTCTCAAGAAGTCAAACCAGCATCGCAAGCACCGTGATTCAAAGCACTCTACACCGGATATCGACGGGAGCGCTCGCAGATCATGCTTTTGGGATCGGAAAGTGCGAACTCACCAATACCCATCAATACCAGGAAGCCGGTCATGAAGCGGCCAAAGTCGGCAGCGGCGTTGCCGGAGCTGTCCATAAAGTCATCCGGATTGGCGCATCGTGAGCAGATCCAGTTGGGCAGGGGCGCAACAACATAAGTCGCAACAACAAGCAATGGTAGGAAGTTGTGCCAGAGAGCCGAAGAGAGGATCACAAGAAGAAAACCAATGGCAAGGACCTATGGATGAAATGCATTAGTAGGTGCAAGCAACTGAATTGAAAAAAAAGAACAGAGAAGTAGAAGCGCGCATACAAAGGAGAGTGCGATGATTGTTTTGAGTCCGGCGGTCATGGTTGCGGAGAAGCCCCAGTCGGTGTGAGGAGGGGTCGATAGAGAAGAATAGCTTTGTTGAGGGGGAGGGCGGAGAGCGAGGAAGCTCAGAAGAGGACACTGAGCAAGTAGTATCAAGGAAGATCCAGTGAGAGAGAATAAGGGTTGTGGATCGACTGCATGGAAGCCCAAGAGTAGAAGGGAAAGTGAGTAAGAAGGCAGGCAGAGGCAGGCAGAGGCAGGCAGGTATGAGTGATACAAGCTTAGCTGGACGGGAAGTCAGTGACGTCCGGGCGCGGGTGCTGGTGCTGGTGCTGGTGCTGACAGCCTCAGGCAATAATGATCAACTGCGGCGGAGCGGCGGAGGAGGAGGAGGAGTAGTGCTTACTGCTACTGCTAGCAACGCTACTGCTAACTGGCTAGCGGCGGGAAGCTCTCGTTCTTGCTCTGCTCTCGCTGGCCTGGCCGTCACCGCGTCAGTTGCTCTCTGCCTGTCCGAACCTCCTCCACTACTAACTTACCTTACTATCACTCTATCTCCCCATCCCATCTTGCGCTTCATTCTTTTCTGTTCCCCCCCCCCCCCCCCACCACCACCCACCCCCTACTTCTTTCTTTGATCGGACTACTCTTCAATCCCCCGACTCTTCACTTAAACCCGATCCTCATCACATCCTCTCGCCATGTTCAGAAACAACTACGACAACGATGCCGTCACCTTGTATGTATTATCGCCAGCTTCTCTCATCCTTCCAAACTCAACGCAAATCCACCTCAGGCGCTGTGCTAATCAAGGACTATGCGCACAGCTCCCCGCAAGGTCGGATATTCCAGGTTGAATACGCACAGGAAGCCGTGAAGCAAGGATCTGTGGTGGTGGGACTGGTCAACAAGACACATGCCGTGCTCGTCGGCTTGAAGGTAAGGAAGGCTAGCTCAGCTACTTTCCCCCCTCCCCCAAACCTCATGAAGGGGTTTCCAATTGTTCTCCCCTATACAAAAAGACGACCTCACAAAGCTGACATCTTGCCCACCTTCTTTACCCCCCGTCCCAGCGTAATGCCGAAGAACTCTCGTCATACCAGAAGAAGATCATCGAAATCGACTCCCACATGGGCATTGCCATCGCCGGTCTCGCCTCGGACGCTCGGGTGCTCTCCAACTTCATGAAGCAGCAGTCGCTGGGTTCGCGGATGACCTACGGCCGCCCCTTGCCCGTCGACCGCATCGTCAGCCAGATCGGCGATCGCGCTCAAACGAACACCCAACATTACGGCAAGCGGCCCTATGGTGTCGGCCTGCTCGTGGCTGGCGTCGACGACGCCGGTCCCCACCTGTTCGAGTTCCAGCCCTCGGGCATGACCCAGGAGATGGTGGCCTGTGCCATTGGCGCCCGCTCCCAGATGGCCCGTACCTACCTCGAGCGGAACTTGGAGAAGATCGCCGGCTCCACGCGCGACGAGCTCATCACCCACGGCCTGCAAGCCCTCAAGGAGACCCTCTCCCAGGATAAGGAGTTGACGGTGGATAACACCTCCGTCGGCGTGGTGGGTCTGGCTCCCGAGGGGGCCAGGGGTAGGATCGAGAGCTTCAAGCTATACGAGGGTCAGCTGCTCGTACCTCTGCTGGACGCGTTGGAGCGGTTGGAAGCCGGCGAGGAGACGAAAGAGACCGAGACGATGGAGGTGGACTCATAGAGCGTGGGTTGGGGACGGTGCCACACCTAGCTTCGAGTCCTTTAGATGAATTTACCTTCGGATAGTTATAGTCATGAATCGGGATAATCTCATGTTACCCTATTACCTTCGTCAAACAAGAAGAGCCTGTAAGGTTAGATCATAGAGCAGCCATAGCTCTTGAGCATGCCATTGCCTACCGGAAGACTGAGAACTAGAATATACACATGAAGATCAGACTCAAGCTGAAGCAGGCACTGTTTCACATGGAGGAAACGATTGAAACCTCCCAGGTATTATGCACGGCATCCGATCCCCCTACAGAATATGTGCTTTAAAATACAATGCAAGCCGACGTGAATACGCAGAAGCAAAGCTTGCTCCAGCATGAATCCACTGAATGGCAAGTGCTTCACGACACACGTCCTAAGAATAGCTAGCACCCTTTAGCAAGCCTAGACCGATAACAAGTGAAACGGGTATCATATATCTCCCCCGGACCTCAACTCAGACCCCCCACCTTCACCTTCTTCTTCCTTGATTTACTGTCCTCCAACGCAGGGGCGGACGGCGTCGCAGCTCCCTTCTCCGAGCCCCTCCCCGGCGTGTCCACCCTGACCTGCGGCGTGGCTACTCGTGCAGCCGCTACACCACCGGCATTCGGCCCCTGTTTACTCGACCCAGCCGCCGCCGCCGCATCCCCGGCCTTGGACATGAGGAACGACCCCGGTTCGCCGACCAGCGGGTTCTCGTCCATGAACTCCTCCCCGTACCGCGTCAGCAGACTGAACGACTCCGCCAGCGTCCGGGTATCCTGGTATACGGAGCCGCCGGTCTGCGCCACCTGCGATCCGACCAGAGGCGCTTTCGTGGGCGCGTCGGGCATCGGCGTGTTCTCTTTGCTCTGCGGCGCTGCGGTGCCGGCTGCCTGGGCGGCGGAGTCGGGTTGTTTGGCCGACGGCGGGAGATAGGTGTGTCCGTGCGACGGCGTGAAGGTGGGCAGGGTGGATGCTGTTTTGAGGAGGCTGGTGAGAGAGGTCACGGCCGAGAGCTAATTTCAGGGTTCACGGAGTGAGCGGTTGAGAACAGACGCTTATTATGAAAGGATGGAAGGAGACAGGCAGGCAGCCTTACGATTCGGTTCCCAATGACACTTGCCACTGATGGTGCCATGTAGATGCAATCCCCGACGACAAAGTAGGTCGATAGGACTTCCACCTCGTCGTCTTGTCCGGCTCGCTTGTGCCGCGTCTGCTTCCGGATCACCCAGATGTTGGAGGGTTCGTGTGCGAATCGCCCGTCCGGTTGCGCGGCGGCCTGCAGCGGATCGTAGGAGACAATGAATTCAAGGCCCTGCATGGTGGCGAGCCGGCCTTCGAACGCCTCGCGGGTCTCGATGAATTGCCGGAAGGCTTCGTTGTAGTTGGCTTGGATGGCGAGGGAGGCATTGTTGGATGTGGGATCAAAGAAGGGGGATTCGGCGAAGTAGAAGAGAACTAGTCATTGGAGAGATGGTTAGTATAGATAGTGCGAAGGTACATCCTCTGCTTGCCGGGTACAAAGCGCATACTGTTGTTCGAATGGAGATAGCCTCCCATCATCTGCACGTGCGGCGGGGATCGCCATAGAATCTCCTCCAGCGAGGACTCGGGTGCGGTGGCCATGATGTTCGGTGAGCTCGCACGGGTTTTATATGGTTCTTGGAGTTTTGGGAAGCTATAAAATAAATGTGCTACGAGACTCTATCAGTGTCAAAGAAGTAACAGAGAACGAAGCTGGAGAGATCGTTCGAGGCAACTCTCCGCGGAGGTGACGATGTTTGGCGTGTTTGCATCCAACGTCGATCAGTCGCAGAATGCACTGTAATGTATACGGTAGGTAATAAAAAGGCTACAACTACAATGAGGCAGATGTGGATGGAAGGAGATATTGTAAGAATTTCTAAAAAAAAAAAAAAATCCTCGTGCTGTAATCGAACCGCAACATGCTAGTAGGGTATCTTGTTGAATAGAATCAGTGTGAAAACAAATCCGCCAAAGCTGCGGGCATCGCCTGCCCGAGATGCAAATAAGAACCAAACGCCGCACCGTATATGGTAGATGTTGAATGCGATCTTTTGCAACGTCTCTTCTGCAATCAATCAAAGTAAAGAACTGTATGAGGCCTGCTAGGCATTCTTTACGGGCCGGCAATCAAGCGGCACGAATGCACCAAGGACTGTTCTCAACTTGGTTAACATTTCCTCCCATTCGCCCTCAGCAGTGCTAAGAATGGTGACTGCGCCGCCTGCGCCGATGCGCCAGACCTGGTTGGCATCATCGTCGCTAGCACAAGTGAAAGCGGTGCGTATCAAAACCGAGAAGCTCCCACCGCCACCGAGGTCAAGAAACCCCATTGCACCAGAATAGACTCCCCGCTTTCGATCCTCAATCGAGGAAAGGTGCAAGCACGACCGTTCCTTCGGCGCACCGGTCATAGAGCCAGGTGGGAGACATTGTTGCAGCGCTGTGAGGCCATATGCTGACATGCCGTATGACTGTAGTTGTGGCATATCTTGAGCCGCAAAGCCAGGTCGATTGGGGACCACCTCTCCTATGACATGCGTGATCATTTGATAGACGCGCCCATGGTCTTCTACCTCGAGAAGCTTTTCCACATGAACCCCTCCCGAGCCACAGATACCATAGAGGTCGTGTCGGATGAGATCGGCTATCATGAGGTTCTCTGCCATCTCTTTGGTCGTGCCCAGGATTTCGCGCGCCTTTTCAAGAGTCATGTCGTTCGTCTTCCTCACAGTTCCTTTCATTGGTTTCATCTCCAACCGAGAGTGTCGGTCCCAGTTAAGGAAACATTCAGGGCTGCTGCTGACAACCTTGAGGTTTCCTAGTCTGGCATAAGCACTGAAGGCGGCAGGATTATGTTTCTGAAGACGCCGGTACATTTTCCAAGGAAACTCCTTGCGGCCACTATTGCTTTCTGCCGAGGGCAATGTCATGGTAGTCTCACAAGTAAGACATAGTTCGTACGATTCGCCAGCTAGGAGTTGTGCACGACAGGCATCGAATTGGTCCTGGTAGATTTGACGATCCGGGAATCGGACCACACCCTGCTCAAGAATGCGATCCAAAGATTGTGACTCTATCATCGTGCCTTCAGGTTCAGCGATTTTGTCAGAAGTGGCAAGCCTTTGAAGAGACAACAATGTCTCATCTAGCCATCCATCGGCCAAACCATCTGTCGCACAAGTAGACTGGATAGTGACGCGGCCCGTGTGATGATCAACGACCACGCTCCTTTCAGTCCATAATAGGCTGGCATCTGCAGGATCGCCCGAGGGACCACCGGCTCCTGAGGCATGCGTCCCTTGGAAGTCCTGTTCGTGGCTTCTTGGACGGGCAATGGAAGCCAGTCCCATTTCGTAAGAAAAGTAACCCAGAAAGCCGGCCCAAAATGGGACCGTGTCATCGCCCGTAAGTACTTTTTTGGCATCCATGAGAAACTGAAGTGCGTTCCAGAACCGAGATACTGACAAGCGATCCTCGATGGTGGTTTGGGGATCGCTGGTTGAGCTCTTTGCACTGCCGACTGATAACTTTTCTAAGAGCAGACGTTCGTTCTGCGCATAGTATTCGAGCCTCCAAGTGCTGTAGCTAGGTACAGATATGATGCTGTACCGGCCGTTGGACTTGAAAACGACAGCTGCCGACCCGGGATTGTTGAGAGCCTCGCAAATTGTTTCGGCTCCTAATTGCTGGGACTGGAAAGTTCGAAAGGAGGAGTGACTCGATGTTGATGCACTCCACTTTAACATAGTATGGACAATGTCCGGGATAGATGGCAAGTCACCGGATGACCTAGGAACGGCAATTGACATGTTGCTGTAGCTGCCTCGTCCGTTCAGTTTGTTGTATCGGAGAGCCGCATCCCACCACTTTTTGAGCAGTTCACTGCATGCTTTTCTATCTGACTTGCAGGATTCTGGGTGAAATTGAACGGCCCAGAATGGCTTGTTCCTATGGCGAACAGCCATTGGAATTCGGATCTGATGGGATGCGCCGTCTTGCTCAAGGGACAACCAGGCAAGGAGATCCAGATCTTGCGCAACAAACCCGTTGCGGTGACCGTCATCGGAGACCGTTGACTTCATTTCAGCGTACAGCGAGTGGTACAGCGTGACTTCCAGCTCCTGAACATCTCGGAAGATGTCCTCCTGTGCCGTCTGAACGCGACGGACCTGCCCATGAATGGGGTATGGAAGTCGACGAATCGAAGCCCCGTGGTGTAGACATAAACTCTGGAAGCCAAGACAGATTCCAAAAATAGGTAGTTGGTTTCTGCTATCCAGGTTCCAGATGTCTCTCATGATCCCCACGTCTTGAGGGATATGGGGATCGCCAGGACCAGGGCCAAGAACGACGGCCTCGAAACGCTGCACATAGTCGGCCATGTTGCCATTGGGCCATGATGAGTCAATTCTCAAGACTGTGACTGTGGCCTTGAGAACTTCTTCCAGCATGGCAACGACATTGTAAGAAAAGGAGTCATATGCATCAATGTACAATATGTTCCTGGGTGGGATTCCATATGAAGTAGCATCGTGACTTATAGTGGGTGTTTGGCCTTCGCTTGCTGACTCCCAGAATCCTAACGAGGGAGCCATAGTAGGACACAGAGATCTGAGAAGAAGTCTGCAGACAGACCCACAGTAAAATAACAGAAATTAGGATTAAGGCAAAAAGATATTTAGTAGTATGGGTGCATTCATTGACAGGAGGAGAAGGGGAGTAGAGGTGGATTAATTATCAGATAAAGAACGAAGATCGGGAAAAGATGCAGAATCCGCCACTCCGAGAGTGGCAACGCTAGTAGTCCGTAGTACAGTTGTACTTGTACAGTACAGTCCGTACGGAAAACACCCGCTCGGTTCCTGAAAGTACCGGAGGAAAACTTTAAGATCTTCTTCGGTCCGAACTTCATCGCCGCCACTTGTACATACATAGTATTAAAATATATGCATAGGTCTATCTATCCCTAGCCACCACAAATGTACATACATGATAACCATAAAACCAACCACTGAAAACGCCCTGCATCCTCTGGATTGGACTCGAGTACTCGACACTAGCTAGAGCTATATTATAGACGTAAAGTAAAGTAAATCATCTGACGCTTACTCTATGCCGGACGAATCCCATGATAGCATGCTCTAAAGCAGACACCACCATCATCATCATGTCTGTCTAAACTCAACTCAACAAAGACTTAACCAACGAGGCGACCAATGCCAATTCATCATCAACATCCGCTCGAGGTTTCAATTTCCCTCACTGGGGATCACAAGCTTGGCCGCAACTTTAGGGAAGTACTGCGCAACGAATCCTTCACTGCGCCATTGTTAGTTCCTGGGAATATCTTCCTGAGACCGAGGACGGAATGAACTCACGTGTAGAAACTGTGTGCGGAACTGTGATCCTCGACAAGATTATGCGCCAGTTCATGGCACAAGATCACCCACCAATAAATCAGTGCTTCGGATCGAGTGCCAGCAGAGTTCTGGAGTAGCTGCTTCTCGTGCAGCTGCTGGAAGAAGAAGTAGTTGCAAAAAATGCTACCGGCCCGATTGAAAGCAATGGTCTTTCCCGGGTCATAAAAGACGCTGATGATGTCGAAGCGTAGTGAAAAGACATCAGCACAGTCGATCAGCAGGGATGCGAAAACGTTGATTCCAAGACTATTCTTTGCCAGGAAAGCCGATCGGTCGGGAAGGGTTTTGACAAATAGCACATGGATGCCACAAGCAAGAGTAGCCACAAATTCAAGATCATGGCTTGGTTTCTCATCGCAGTAGGACTTGGTTTCTGTAACCTGATTCGTTTGTGGTCGGGTATAGACATCGGACGAACCATGGGGTCGACACGCCTGAACCGCCGAAAGCAATTCGGATTGCAGGCGATGAGGAGAGTTGGCAGCGACCGGTGCTTCCGGACGAGACTTTTGCTGTGGATCTTGGACGGAGTAAGGTGGAGGAGGTGTAGCATTTTCAGAGGGTCCAGGGACTGGCGTGTTCGAAGACTCCCCGTTGAGGGCATTCCAAGGCGACCGGTTACCCTCAAGCCCAAACCGCTTGGTCAAATTGGCCAGAAACCCGCGCGGCTTCTGGTTTTGAGCCTGATCCGACCTGTCAACCTGCAAATCACGGGAAGAATTTCTGCTCGAGGGAGAATCGGGGAAGTCGCCTGGCATAAGCTGCCGCTCATCTTCCGTTGTGTGCGAGCGTGTCTGACTCTGGCTCTGCACCTGAGTCTGGCCTTGAGCCCAGGCGGCTTCTCTTTCCTGCAAGCGGTGTCGTTCCTCCTCAAGCTGCTTCTGTCGCCTGTCTTCTGCCACCCTTGCTTCTTGGGCCTTCTGCTTGAGAATACGTTCGACATTGTACCCGCGAGCTTTCAACTCCAGGAGATCGGTCTTTAGGAGCATTTCCAGGGTCAGAGTCGAATGAAGCTTCGGTCTAGCAAGAATGAGATGCACCAGAGCCTGACTTATTTCATAAAGATCGTATCTGCCCGGGCATATCCACAACATCCAGTTCCGCGATGGCTGCTGGGTGATGATTGCACTTCGCTTCTGAGTATGAGATATACGCCGTCCCTTCAGAGATCGAGTGAGGGAAATGGATTGTACCACCTGGACTTGTAGATGTTTTTCGAGCCAGCGCACATCGTGTCGTATGGAATCCGACGATTGGTCATGCAGGAAGAGTCTCGTGCGTTCGTGAATCAACTTTTGTAATTTAGCTGCTGGACTCTGATCAGCTGCCACTGCACCCCAATGAGCGCGCTCTTCGACCAGGCTGCTCAGCGGCACTGCTCCCAAAGAAAGGTAGAAGTTCTCTAGAAGCTCTTCTTGTGGAGCGGCCAAAACATGTTCCTTGAACAAATTGAAACTTTGAAAGTCATCCACAACCACTGCATCCTTGGCGACGGTCAAAGTCCACTCCTTAATGCTCTGTTCTTCGTCTTCGTCTTCTGAGCCCGCGGCATCATTGCTGACATTCGCCTGAGCCAGAGACGTTATGTCTCTGCTGGATAGAAGGAACGCGGATCTTTTCATCTCCAGGAACAATTCTCGATCTTTCTTGAGCACCGGGAGATGCTCTGCAAGCGTTCTAAGCAACTTGAGATACTTATCTGCACTTTGAAAAGTTGCCGATACTCTTGCGGGCTCTCTTACTAGCATATGCGCAAGCTCTGTTTTCGTTGGCTCACGCTTGGAACCGACTGCCATAAGAAATAGATTGGCCTCCTGATCGAAATCGACGAAATCAAATATGTCCTTGTAATCCTCGCCTTCTCCCAGGTAACAGAGCTTGGGCGCCACGTGACGCACAGAAGACTTGTTGTCCATTGAGTCATGAGCAGTCGAGACGGGCACAATCTGAGCATTGCTAACACGATCGATGTCCCGGGATCTGAGCTCCGATACCCTTCCGGCAAGGTACTTGAATACCACCCGGGCGTCTCTTTTGTTAGATGGCGGCAGGCGCATAAGACAATCTAGACAATCGCTCAAAGCAGGATGCTCCTTTACTCCAAACTTCGAGGCATGCGGATGAAGATCCTTTCGGAGAATCTGAAAGCCAAATAGTGTAGCACCCTCTTCAGTAAAACATTTCCCAGGGGTGCTTAAAGTGTCCGACCCTTCGACAGGTAGGAATGGAACCTTGATTGCGCCACAGTCAAAGATAGCATAGCCGCTTGTATGATACTCAGCGATATAGTATGACATGGCTCTTGTGTGCAAACTCCAGTTCTTCTCTGAGGCTGCTCTCGCCATAGTATCAACTAAGTCTGCGGCGGATGGAGAAGCCCTCAAGCCAAGCATAGATAAAAATTTACCCTCATTGCTGCTAGGTAGATACTTTCCGGGCCACTGAATGATTGGCAATCCAAGCGCCCGAAGTGAATCTTTAGGCTCAAACAATTCGCATATCTTGTAGCGCGTTGTCTCAGCGCGCTTGGATTCATTAGAAGTCTGCCCATCGTGGTATTCAGCTGGGCAGAGGCTCGTATCCTTAAGCCTCTTGATATCCTTCGAAGGTATGTCTGCTTGAACGGATGCTAGATAGCGTATCAAATCGACATGGCTCCACCTCCGCTCGCTGCTGTTCCCTGAGTCCGAGGACTCAGATGAGTTCAGAAGACGTTCAAAAATAACTCCGAGTTCAACTGTTTTACGAACTCCTAATGATGCCAAAAACTTCTCCTTGACACCATTAAGACCATGGATAACAGGTAAATCATCGAACAGTCGAACAGAAGAAAAATATGTTTCGGGTGGAGTCTTCATCCCCAGCTTGGTTGGAATAATGGTCTTCGATTGCAGCACATTGCTCACTGTTTGCTTCGATGTCGGACTAAAGTACTCCCATTGCTTCGATATTACTGGAAGAACCTGCCCGGAGAATGACGGATTCTGAGTGATATCATGAGCTGCTGGGAGTATATTTCGATTGCCAGCATTCTCAACCAACCAAAGGATCCAGGTGACAACCTGTAATTCTGTCCATCCCATTGCCTCCAGCTCTCTGTTCCCAAGATTCTTTGTGAATTTAAATGGTGCCACTGATGGTGGCAAGGGCAAGCTTGCTGGTATTCTTTGCGGATTCAGAAAGCTGGCGATACCCGCAAAGACAATCAATTTGCCCTGTGAGTCGGCGCTCTCTTCGTCGCTTGCTACTGCAACACTAAGGATACTTTGAACGGAATAAGTATCGAGCTGACCCGCAACAGCCTTCCGACTGAGCCAGGCAAGAAACTCGTTGACTTGACTAGAGCGCAACGTAGTGCGCTCCAACTCTTTCTTGATGTCGGACACAGTGATGTCAGTCACCAGGCCAAAGTCTGTCAATTTCTTGACAAAATCTTTAGCACCTGTCACGAAAGCATCTGGCAAAACTGGAATCGAATCCATGAAACTGAGATCCTTGGGAGCTATGCGTGCTTGATGGCTCTGAATTACACCGCATGTTGACAGAACTTCAATCGAGGAGCTTTTGTTGCACGTCCAGAATGCGTCCTCTATTGTCTGCCCCAGCACTGAGGATGGGGTCGAATCACGAAATACAAATTGATTTGCGGTATGGATGGCCTCGGGGAGAATATCGCCTATATCATCTTTGCGGATCTTGGTTGAGTTGGAATCGTTCTTTCCGGGGTGTATCCTGGATTTTATGGATGCCATCTCCGCAGTCCAAGCAATACGACAGACAATGCCGGCCGCCCGTAGCATTTCAAGGTTCCACTTGCTAATATATCGAGTGTTGAGATCGATACTCTCCCTCTCGACCGTGGGAATCACAGAAGGTGCCGATATATGAGCGTTGAGGCCTGTTGTTTGATGGGTAGGGAAACCTATGAAGATCCTTCCATCTTTCGAAGGAAGTATAGAGGCAAGAATTTCCGACTCCAGGCCGGACGCTCTGGAGGCTAAAGTAGTATCATATGAAGGTGTCAAGATAGCGATTGTCGATTTCTTCGGCGGTGGTTTCCGAGTTGCTCTTTCAAGTTCACTACTCAATGATTGACTGACAGACGCTTGAATACTAGCAGTGTTGATGTGAAGGAAGACAGATGCCTTTGAGGTCTTGATCATCTCGCTGATGTCGCTTGTATTGTCATTGACTTCGGTCTTCAACGGCTTTTCCGAGGTTTTTTGGCCGGTGAGTCGTGAGAAGAAGGTGCGTAACGAGCCTGTAGTATCACGGAGGCCCTCGCTGAAAATGCTTGCATTTGGTTTCCATTCGACAACTCGCATCCACTCAGCGTCAACCTGGGCAACCTCCCGAGTAACCGACTGGATTTTCATCAGTCCGTGAGGCGTCTTTGTGTCGATGTCTCTTGGAATGACAAGGTCAACACTTGGGGCTGTCTTTTTGGAAAGTTGCAGCACTTTCCAGTCGTCTAGCCACAGCTCTATACCTTCGAGGCTGACAAAAGTAAGACTACTGGATAAGAACTGGCATAACTGCATCAGCGAAGGGATTGGGGTGGAGTCATTGCGATAGTCCAGAACGAACGTGGTCTCGGGATTGGCGTCTTCGTTCAGCTGTAATCGGCGTGTAAAAAGTGCGTTTCCTTTCCAATAGAAGGCCATTGCTTCCTTTCCGGATGATACAAAAGGCTCCTCACAATCGTCGAAGACACTGTAGAAGCCGACGCCAAATGCTCCAATTTTAGTTTCATCGGGATTTCCGTCAGCAATACGCTTCAGCCTTGACCAATCCTTTTCACTAAAAGGAAGACCGTTGTTCGATATGAGGAGGCGTTTGAGCGTATGATGGGAGATCGTATGCTTGATCAGGGTGTTCTCATCGGGAGCTGGAGGCAAGGGTACCGTGGTTGAAGGTATAGTCTCGAATTTGATAGTGACTTTCCTGGCATTCGCATCCGCGGCATTCTGTATCATTTCGCGCAGAACAGTCCTGTTCGTATGACATCAGCGATAATCCCTCGAGTCCAAGTCATTTTGGGAAATATTACCATTTGCCTGAGTATCGTGCAAGAACCTTCGAGATCAAACCCCTTGTGTCCACTGTAACCGCCTCTTCATCATTCCCGGATCCCAACGTGCGCGCTCTGAGCGCATTGAAATCGATCTTCTGCGCCATCTTCGCAGGCTGACAGGAAGAATATCACGGGCGAACGACCCGATGATTAAGGATGAGAACCTGCAAAAGTGATTATCTTCAAACGGATGCAACAGAGATTCCGAGGAGGATCAAGTTGTTGGACGACTTGAGGTCGATTGATATCCGTGGTGGCTGAAACCTGGGCAAAAGAAAGACAACAACGCAGAAGATCCTTCATTCCATGGCAACGCAGGCACCAGCGTATAAAAGCTTGTTTCAAACAAAGAAAGAGAGCTATAAACAGCACAGAGCGCACAGGGAAAAGAGGAAAAGGGGAAGAGTTTAGGGAATCGGGAGCAGGGATCCCTGTCTGACTGTAACCGAGTCCGATGGCGACTGGAGGTAAATGGTAAATGACGGAGACAACCGCGGAGTTAAACCGTTTATCAGGGAGCGGTTCCAAGTTGTTTCTTATCTGACTGAACTGAGGCAGCTGATAGGTTAGTCATACCTTATGTCAGCAGGGGGAGAGGGGCGGGCGGTCAACACTCCGACCATTCATCATTTCCGGGGTTGTTGTTCACCTGTTGTCGGTCATGCTTCGATGCATACTATCGTTTCCTTGGTCAAGATAACCCAAGACTATAATTACAGAATTACAGGGAGCCAAACCAGCGATATCTTGACCAGTACCTTCCTTCGTACCTACCAATTACTAACCATTGCGTCGTGCATAGCGCTTCGTATGACTTCCGGCCGTTTGGCCGTCTGCCCGCCTGCCCGCCTGCCCGCCGTGCTTGGAAGCAGCAGTCTTGAGCACAACGCGACTGCGTCGACCGTATCCGGACGACATAATGGGGGTCGATCCTCTCTCTCCCATTGCGCCTGTGCGTCTGAGGGCCCTTCTGCTGCCCATTGGCAAAATCAGGCGATCCCGGTTCCTGAGCTTTGCTGCAAGACTCCAAGCCGAGAATGTTGTCCGCTTGGGTGATATCAGTCCCGATGCGCGCCCAAATCGAAGTATGTTCACACATTGATTGCTATAGCGCCCCAAGTGATTGCACTCCCTCCCCATAGCAATAAACGAGAATCACACTAAACGGCTAATTTCTATCAATAGACATGTTCTCCCCGCTGGCGTTCCCTACTGGAATGATTCTTTATGATCTCACATATTCCGTACCGCCCACGTCCCACTTGGAATTGTTTCCCTTCGAGATATTCCGTGAGCCTTTGGTGGTAATTGCGATTGCCGATGGAGCAGAGCTCAGTGAAGATACAAAGAACGGGGAGAAAACCTCAGCGGTCGATCGGCCCCCAGAGCCAAGCGAACTGGAGCAACTTCGACAGGAACTGGAAACACTAAAGCAGACCAACCTGAGGGCCTTGGTACACCAGCTTCTGATATTTGACTATGATGGCGTGGAGAAATTGTTTAATGGCCCAGATAATGTTTCATGGGTGCCGCGACCTGAAGCGTCTAAGGCTACCACAATGAAAACGGTATTATGCGACATAACATCCTTGCTCCTATCCGAATTAGATGAGTTCGCCAAGACCATTCAAAGTATTCCTACCATCAATTCCCCGAGAGCATCATCTTGGGGTCCACATCGAGGGCCCGACATCCGCCCACGCCCAACAGATCGCCTATTTCATCGGATGACGATGCCTGCGCAGCTACCATCCAATCCCAACGGTGCATCAGAGTCGCGCCGGGGCTCTAATCAAGGTTCGCCTGCTCCCGGTGACCATGAGACGCCTACTACATTCGACGAAATAACCCGGTCAATTCAACTGGCCAACCGCTCCAACTCGATAAGCAAGCCACATTCGCTCCCATCGTCAAAAGAGCACAGTCGTGATCGCATGTCGGTAAGCGGCATGAGCGCAACAGACCGAACAAAAAACCGCATCAAAGGGCGTATAGGTGTGGTTGTTGGAACATTATTTCTCCAGGCAGGCAGATGGCCTGATGCTCTCAAAGAACTTGTCGAGGCTGCATCCAATGCAAGAGCCAGTAGTGACTATGTGTGGCATGCCAAAGCGCTGGAATCCATTCTTCTCTGTCTGCTGATGCTCGCTTGGGCTGGGATGGATTTTCAGGTATGTCACTTGGTATGAATTTTGCCGCTGATTGTTTGTCACTTACGCCGAAAAGATACCACCTGTATGCTACCCTGTCTCCGACAAGTCATCGAAGCTGTCATACAACACTACCTTCGACTCGGGCTCGTCCTCCGCAGGAAACCGGATCATATCTCTCCAAAACCTGTCCAACCTACTCCCAGACCTTTCGAACAATATACTGAATCTCTATAACCGCGCCGCTAACATCACCAATGAACCATTGCCTCAGCTAGTCTATTCTGAGACCGTCGTTCGTCTGGCAAGGTTATTGGCTGCCGCCCGAATTCGGGATGGTGCTTTGGACGATGTAGCCCTGAAGAATATCGTCACAAACGAGCCTCTGGTGCCGTTACTCCGCCCGGAGCGGCCCCGTGGGCTCAATATGCTTCGGAAGTCTGAGATTGCAAACTTCCTTTTCCGCGCATTACCTCTATCCCCTGGGTCAGATCTGCCTCCCACTGATGCTATACCTATCACTGTGGGTGTGATCTCCGTCTTAAATATTCTCGATCTACCACGAAAGAAGGCGTTTCTGCTACGAGAGCTTCTTTCGCTTATGATCCCCACCCTCGTGCAAGCGCGTAAGATTGGCGCAGCAGAAGTGGGGGTCCATCCTGCAGCTGGGTTGGCGTCTTTGACTGACACTGCGTTTGACATCAACGCTCTTGACCTTGGACCGGGAAACATGGAAGAAAGTATGCGTTCGCTACTCGCTGTCATAGGGGACACATATGGCGTGCAGCCATCGTCGTATTGCGAATGGGAAAAAAGACGATCATCTACTCTTAGTACCAACGATGCTTTCCCCGACTATGATTCCGTGGCTGCTATTGTCGAACGGTCTTTCCGGCATGCTAACCTGGATCAGTATGGGGATCTCAATCTTAAGATTGATGTTCTTAAGGCAGCTATCAGCTCATGTGAGGCACTTCCAGATTTTGATGGTGTGCTTCGTTTCACAGTCGAACTTCTTCAAACCATTCGAGGAGACCTGATGCTGGCAGAGACCCAACTCAACCCGCCTTGCCTGTCTCGTGATGAGCAGATTCGGCTCTTGAATAATATCAAAAGAACTGTTGGCGCGGCCAAAAAATTAGGCGCACCCGAGCTGGAAGCGGAATATTGGGATGACTTCTTGGTACGGGGTGTTGAGCTTTTGCCCCTCCCAGATCCTAGACGACCTGTTCGTCACTCTAAAACAGATCTGGATGCTGTCGCAGCGGATCGCGAAAAGTCAGCCAAGGATCCGTTCCTCTATAATCCCTTCGCGAAGGCAAATACTAAGGCTTCTGAGGTTCTGATGGTTGCGGGTGAATATGCGGCATTCCGAGTCTCGCTTCAGAACCCCTATGACTTCGAGCTAGAAATCGAGAAGCTTAGCCTGGATGGTGATGGCGTGCCTTTGGATGCTGTGGCAGAGTGGGTGCTCGTACCTCCTCTTTCCTTGCAAAAAATCACTGTCTATGGGCAAGCCCTTGAAGAAGGTGCGCTCAACATTACCGGCTGCATTGTCAAGGTTAGGCACTGCAGGGAGCGCAGGTTCCCAATCTTTCAGTCATTATGGAAGCCAGAGACAGAAGTGAAGTTCAAACGCACAGGGCTTGCTGCTAAGAAGCCTGCGGTGGATCGTCCTCTGTCCTGGAGTTCGACCACCGCCAGAGACGGTAAAACAATACCCAAGAAGGGCCCTGACACTTCGGCCTGCGAAGTCAAAGTCATTGGTAAACAACCATCTCTAGCAATTGAGTCGTTGTCTCTTTCTCAGTCCGCAATCATGGTACTCGAAGGCGAACTCAGCTCCTTCGACATTACGCTTCGCAATACGTCACCGTGCCCGCTTAATTTCATCTTATTCACTTTCCAGGACTCCACAACCAGACAGGTGCAGTCAGCGCTTGGCAACAAAGACCTCCTTCCTGTTGAAATCTATGAGCTGGAATTGAACCTTACCAGACCTGCGCTGCGCTGGCGCCGACAAGGTTCGAATCCTGAAGACTACTCGATCCCGGCAGGTCAAAGTGCTACATTTACCATCGAAATCATCGGAAAGCCCGGCTTGCAGGACACTACCGTTCAAATCGATTATTCGTACCTTGGTATGTCGGACGGCGGTTTGCCCGATGTCTTCTATACCCGCCAACTGTTTGTCCCACTTACTGCTACGGTCAATGCCAGTGTTGAGATCGCACGGTGTGATATCTTACCACTCAGTAGTGATTTTGCCTGGTGGAATCGTAAGAATGGTATTGTGGAAGGCGAAGCTGAGGATAGCCAATCTCTTGATTCCGGTGCTATCTCACCGGTCCTGTCCCATCTTGCCCACGGCAAGTACGGACCTGATCACTGCATCTGCCTACTAGACCTGCGCAATGCCTGGCCCAACCCTTTGTCCGTGTCCTTGAAGGTCCAGGAGCAGCCTGTGGAGTCTGAGCAGGTTGCAACCCACGACGTTTCTGCTGACTCGGAGGGCCAGTATACTGTGCATGGAGAACTTCAACCGGGTCAAACATCTCGCTTCGTTCTCGTACTTCCTCGGGTGCATCTAGAAAACCCCCACGCATCAATCCCCATACTGAACACGGGCATGAAGCGTCAGTTCGTCGTCAGCGCCCACAAGCTTTCCTTCGACGCCGAGGCGGCCTCCCGCGAAGCATTCTGGTATCGCGAAGAGCTCCTCCGCCGGGTATCCGGACACTGGAAAGAGAAAGCCGGCGGACGCGTTGGGATCGTCGACCTTCGCAACCTCCGTTTCAACGCCCGCATGGTCGACGCCTTCCGATCTGACGATATCGGCGTGACCTACGCCCTGGAACCCTTGCTGCCGGATGAGTCCACCAGTACCGCGGCCGTGCGCACTGGGAACTCCAAGTACGACGTCCGAACGGACGAGCTGCTGAACCTCACCGTCACGGTTCTCAACCGCTCGAACAGACCCCTGCACCCACTCCTGCGGCTGCAGCCCAGTCTCCGCCACCAGCCCAGCAACGTGGCCCTGGACCTCTCACGGCGGCTCGCCTGGACTGGCATGCTGCAGCAGGTACTCCCTGTTCTTAGTGGCGGGGAAAGCACGACCGCCACCGTCGGCGTCACGGCTCTTTGCCGGGGCGAGTATGAGTTCGGCGCAACCGTAGAGGAGCTTCGGCTCCTGGCGCCCACGTCGGAGCCTGGAGGCGAGGCCCATTCGGCGGCGGCGGCGCAAGCCGCCTTCCATGACGTCGATGGTATCATCACCGATACGTTCGGTGCGGATGTGGCCAAAAAGCGTCGGATCTGGCACGCCAAAGAGACCTGTGTTATGAACGCTCATGAATGAAACGCCAAGCGATCGGAGGATAGGAGCACACAGTGAATAAATAGATGGATAAACGCTTCCCGTGATTCAGCTTCTGTATAAGGAGAACTGTTTCTTTAGACATAATACATATATACCCTCTCTGTCTCTCTCCTTCTCCTGTTCCTGATTGTGTTTTCATGCAGGCTGTCGAGATGATTAAGCATGCTTCTCGCGCTTCGGACTAATGCTTTGGATAGCCCCTTCTAACGACGCTACAACTGTACCCTCAAAGTGATCGATGATGTTGGCTAATATCCCGATGTCATATGATTCACATTACCCTATGCAAGCTTTGTAAATACCTACAATAGTCTTACTCTTAGTGATTGCGCCTCATGTCAGTACAGCCCCGCTCAGCTGCACAGCCGCCGCGACCTTGATAGCGAGATTCGCAGAGTCCAAACTGACGGTACGAAGCGCAAAGGAGCATGCATGCAACAGATGAAGAATAAAAGATATATTAATAATGGAGCCCCCCTGGATATACCTAATGCCCGATCGCCCTCTGCAACCGTCCAGCGGCAGTCGAGGGCCCGGGCTCGGGCCAACCGCTCACAGCATCATCAACTTCTTCCAGGAAACTTGTGCTGTTGTGAATGGCTGTGCCACCCAGAACCACCCGCACGCCAGGCGAGCTAGCGTTGACTTGGGCGACCATTTTGGCTTCTTCGTAGGTTGCGCCACCAACCATGAAGATTATTATGTCCTGAGGCTTGTCTCGGGTATGGCCCCCACCCTCGAGAAAGGGGTACTGGAGTTCCCGCAATCGACCTTTGATCAGGTTCTGAAGAGTGGCTTCTAAGCGCGGAGAATGTTGCGTGTAGACGTTCTCTACGCCTTTGAGTCCCTTGAAGCGATCTCGTGCACCAGAGAACAAGGAGGTGGACTCGAACAAGTCTGAGAAGCCACCAGCGACCGGAGGCGCCTGCAAGGAATGGTGATAAGCGAGTAATTTGGGGATGATGTTGACTTTGTACGAAGGAACATCGCCCGCAGTGACCAGAAGGTCAAGGAGAATTGGAAGAGCATTGTTGGGCTGCTTTTCGTACCGTATGGCATACAATGCCACTAAGCGTAACTTGCTCTCAGCTGACACCTTTGGTAATTGTATTACCCTTTGGAGATTCTGTAAATATGTGGTCAACCGGGTGTCCTTGGGTGCTAGGCCATTTCAGATGTAACCATCTTGATGCATACCTTGAGGTCATTCGCGTGGTTGTCATTACAAGCCAAACTCTGTTCCAACTCACTCACGTCAAGAAGATCCTCTTCCCCCACGCGCCTACTCAGCTCGCCAACCAAGGTAACATGCTTGCTAACATTCCCGGAAAGCTTGCGGAATTCGGGATAGTCTTCAACAAAACGTTTCATGTCTGCAATCGACTCGATGTTCATTGTGCTGTGCGTCTTCGCCTGATATTGCTCGACGTATTCTTTAATGTTCTGGCCCAGATCGCCGAAATTCTGATACATATTCTTCTTGAAGAACGGATCCTGGTCTTGAGAAAGAACGATTTCCCGCAGCTCCGGTCGGATCTCGGGCACGTCTCTCAGATCCACTCGACCATTGTGAATGCCCATCAATTCATGCACCATGGCCTGGTAAGTCCATTGTGTGAGTAGCGGGGTGATGGGATCATCTCGACGGTCCAAGATCAATAGTATCGGCGGCGTATCCGTCTTGCGAAAATTGAATAGCTGTTCCTCTTGGGTCAACTGGTAGCGGACCTCAGTGGCCAGCTTCTTGGCCAACAAGCTGTTCTTTTCGTAACGAATCAACGGGTTCTTTTTCAGGGATAATAAGATCGCAATGACGCCTTCGGTAGCTCTCTGTAGGGCATCGGGGTTCCACAAATCTGGCGACTGGCCCCATAACCGCTGCTGGGGGTATCCCAGGTTCAAGGAGCACAGATCCGGGTTGATCACGAGGAAATCTGCGAAGTGCTCCTGGACCAGGCGAACGACTTCGTGAGAGTCAGCTTCGGCAAGCCTCTCGAGTGACGATTTGCGGATGATATTGCTGAGGTAAATATAGTACTCCCCGTACTTCGGTTCGCGGAGCTCGTCGATCAGGAATTGGATCGAGGTGGGGGATGGTCGTACGAAGCACAGGCATCGTAAATGTCGCATTCGTTCGCGAGAAGCATTATCGAGCCGATCAATCAGATAGACTTCATGGTTCAACAGTGCGGATTGAGTAATGGCGGTGGAGACAATGGGGACCTATTCCAGAGCCGTTAGCACATACGGTGTCTATTCGACACGATCCGCGCAAGTCCCACTGTCTCACTGTCAAGGAGCAAGATCTTCATCTTGGCCGAGGACGAAGGGCCCGAAGCCGAAGAGTCGCCTGCGGTGACCATCTTGGAGATGTATCCCGAGACCGCGGCAACAACGTCCATGTTCGGCGACCGGAAGTGGTTGGGATGGGGAAAGTGGGGAAAGAGGAGGGAGTGCAAAGATGAAACTCAGGGATCAGAACCAGAAGAAATTGGCGACATCAAGGACGATGCAAATAGCAAATAGGGGCGCGCGTGAGCGACAAGAAAGACAGAAAGACGTTGGGGTGGAAATGGGGACGGGTTGTTGACACGGAAGTGGAGTGGAGATGGAGGAGAAAGGGAAGAAAGAAGACGATGCCAAGTAGCGGGAGGAAAACAGATGACGATGCCTGCCCATGTGATGTTTTTCGCATCTCAACACTTTTCGGTGGCTTTTTTTTCTCTCTTTTCTTTTTCCCTTTCTTCTTCTCCTTCTTCTCGATGTTGTTGTTCACCGCACTCATGCATCTCTCATTTCCTTTCTATTAACTAGCATTAATCCCCATTATCCTACAACTACTCAGTTATTCCCTCTATTCCACCTGCAACATTATGTTGCCCTTTATAGATCTCCGTATGTCGCTCTCCGCCAACTTTTTCCCCCATAGCTTCTGGTAGACTGACCCCCCGTTGGCGCCAGTGTTCGACTATCCCGCAAGGGCAACAGGAGCTTCCATTGATGAGCGTATGTTTCTACTCTATTGTGCTTGCGCGCAGTGCTGATTCCGCGGTTGTTTGGTTCCCTCGGCACAGTCAAGCTCATTGCGTCATTCCTCCTCTCATATCCTTTGGCCGGCCTGTTGAAGCGAATTCCCGATGCTCAACCCTGGAAGAAGAATGTTTTCATCATCGCCGTATCGCTATTCTACATTGTTGGCCTCTTCGATTTGTGGGATGGTCTCCGCACGTTGGCCTATAGCTCCGCTGGTATCTACCTGATCGCCTACTACATCGATGGATCATTGATGCCATGGATCGGTTTCGTCTTTCTGATGGGCCACATGTCCATCAATCACATCTATCGCCAAATTCTCGACGATGCGCAGGTCGTGGATATTACAGGCGCTCAGATGGTCCTGGTCATGAAGCTTTCCGCGTTTTGCTGGAACGTTCATGATGGTCGGTTGCCGCAAAGCCAGCTCTCCGATGCCCAGAAGTATGCCGCGATCACTCAGTTCCCGAGGGTTCTGGATTATCTGGGGTATGTGCTCTTCTTCCCATCTCTTTTCGCTGGCCCGGCTTTCGATTATGTCGACTACCGCCGCTGGATTGACACGACTCTGTTTGATGTACCTCCTGGAACCGATCCGTCCAAGGTGCCCCCGACCCGGAAGAAGCGAAAGATCCCCAGAAGCGGCACGCCTGCTACGAAGAAAGCTATAGTTGGCTTGGTCTGGATTCTGGTCTTCCTGCAATTAGGCTCCTTGTACAACCAAGATACCTTACTCAGAGAGGGCTACATGAATTACTCCTTCCTCAGACGGGTCTTCATAATGCACATGGTCGGCTTTGCCGCCCGATGCAAGTACTATGGCGTCTGGTCGCTGACAGAGGGTGCCTGCATCCTCTCTGGAATGGGATACAATGGCTTCGACCCTAAGTCGGGCACGGTCTTCTGGAACCGGCTCGAGAACGTTGATCCCTGGAGTCTCGAGACAGCCCAGAACTCCCACGGCTACCTAGGCAGCTGGAACAAGAACACTAACCACTGGCTGCGGAACTACGTCTACCTGCGCGTCACTCCTAAGGGCAAGAAGCCTGGATTCCGCGCCAGCATGGCCACTTTCACCACCAGCGCATTCTGGCACGGCTTCTACCCCGGTTACTACATGACCTTCGTTCTAGGCTCCATCATTCAGACCGTCGCTAAAAGTAAGAGCCCAGATTCTTCACCTACTGCGGGAACTTTTATACTGATCGAACCCCAGAATTCCGCCGTCATGTCCGGCCCTTCTTCCTCACTCCCGATGGCAGCAAGCCTGGGCCCTACAAGCGCTATTATGATGTTATGAGCTGGCTCGTCACTCAGATTACCATGTCCTTCACGGTGATGCCCTTCATCTTCCTCTCCTTCGGCACCTCGGTCGCCGTCTGGCGCAGCGTCTACTTTTACGGCATCGTCAGCAATCTTCTCTCGATCGTCTTCTTCGCCAGCCCCGCCGGGGCGATCCTCATCAAGAAGCTCAAAGCCCGCGGCACCAGTCGCCCGCCACACGGCCCCCGCACGGCCAGCACCGAGTCGCTGCAACAACCGCCAACCCTCGGTCTCCCCAGCGACGCCATGCAGGAATTCGATGACGCCGTCCAGGAGATCATGGCCGAGATCGAGTCCCGTCGCAGACGCGGCAGTGTCGTCACTATGCCCACGGGCGAAGAGCTGAAAGTCGCCGTCGAGAGCAAGATCGGGCGTAAGCTTCCCTGATTTCCAGGATCCTTCTATACCCTTGGGAGGTGGGAATGCATTGTATGGATGGGTCATCCATGGCTCCCTTTACATGGTCGTCGCCTTCCCTTTCGTTATGTTCTCTTCTGTGTCACTTGCACTCCAGTGCGAATTTAATGCAGTCAGATGGATTCTTCATCGCGTGGCCATTCAAGGGCCGGTGACTTATGGGCGGGCTGGATGGGCGGGGCTGGGTAAGTTGGCCACCGCAGCTGATTCAGCGCCGACTGCGTGATAGACAAGGACTATCGCCCTCATTTAGAACTTACTTTGTAACTTTAGATTTTGTGTTTTGGCTCCCGGCGCTCGTGGTTGCGCAGATCCATCTCGGGTCTTTTTGTATCAGTATTGAGCGACGCAACTTGATATGTGACGTTTTGGAGTCTAGTTGATTGGTTTCTTGTGCCATGGCATAGTGTCCGTGACCTGTCACTGTACAAGCTGAGTAACCTTCTCCGTATCCGTTATCCAAGAGCTCGCCTACCATCTAGATGATCTACTTAAGCACCATCGTCTGATATAACCATCGTGTCATATATATCTACCTATGTGTTGATTTTCCTATATAGTCCGTGAATCCCAACTCGAGCCCGCAGAGAAATCATTCTCATCAGCACTCAGGTATCGAGATGGGCGACATCAAAATAGACAAATGAAAGAAAGAACAGTAACATATATCCGTCGTGTGTCGTGAAATCCCAGATAATTCCAACGCTATGCATGCACTTTGCAGATAATCGAATAACCCCAATGAACTTGACCAGATAGACGGTTTCGGTATAGTGCGGATAGACATAAAGAGGACCAACACCCATTTGTCGAGGAAATATGAGACTGATCTTCAGAAAAAAGAAATATCGAGAAACATTATAAACATCACGTCATGGCAGTCGTGTCGAGAGTGATATGTAAATATGATATACCAAGCAGCCGTGGGGCAAAGAAAGCTGAATGCGAGTATAATTGCAGGCGCATCGAGCAGGCGGCGCTCAAGTGAAATCAAGGCGTATGAAGGGGTATAAACAGGTAAAAAGAGTCGACTCCAAGCATTGTGATGCGAAAGTCAATTCGAGCATACACAATGCAATGCAGGCGCAGGCATGGCCTGCGCAGGGAGCGCCAAGGCAGCCGATGTACCTCGGCGCCCTAATCAGGCAGAAGCTGCAAGCGCGATGGACTTGCAAAGAACATAGAACAGGGGGCTCGGGATTTCAATCAACCCTAGAACCCCACTGTTGTACCGACAACTGCTAAAGTGATCTGCCATGTTGTTAGTTGAGGGAGCAAGAGCACGGCTTATGCAGCACTTACCACAATGGTGACGATTACTAATCCCAAAGGGTTCATCCACCGGTTGAGCTTTCTCCACCATCGGGCATTTTCGTAGCGTCTTCTCTGCAGGTCGAATAATCGCATGCGTAGGCTTGTTTCCAGTTGGGACTCGGGGTCCTCCTGCATAACCATTTCCGGTTGTTTCGGTAAAGGGAGGAATGAGGCGATCAGCCAGGCTAACGAGCGCAGAGTAAGCACACGTTCCAGTCAAGCTGCGTAGATACCAGGGCTGATACTTACCAAGAGGGAAGATGAACCCAACACAAAATGACCAGACTTGAATGTTTCGCCGACCGAATAGAGGTTCCATCCTAGAGTCGAGGGATGGAGCTCCGCGCGTGCCCTTCCGTGGGCCCGTCGCACGTCGATCAGGCAACAGGTGTGGCGACCAGCTGCTGCGCAGCCGATTGCGGGTGTCCCTTCTTTCAAGTTCTGGATCTTTTACCCAATGGCTTCGAGGGTCGCGGGGATCGCTCGGTGGTGCCTCCCACCGTACGCTTCGTAGGTCACTAGTCATTGTTCGAGTATGGCTGTGAGCCGTAGGCATGCGGTAAAGAGCGCCATTTGTACTCGCTGTAGCTGGCCGTAAGGATGGTGGGCGACTTCCCTCCACCGTGGGTAAACCCGAATGAGCAGGCTGCGCTTCGGAGCGCGCATAATACATCCTAGCCCAGTTGGGCAAAATGTTATGGATGGTCGAACTTGTTCCCGGCCGCTTGGTGCTTCGCATACTGCTTCGACGGGATCTAGATCCGGACGAGAGGCTGCTGGGCACCGCTGGGTTCGAGGGGCGCGCTGGCAAGTTTGCGACATCGTCATGCTGTTCGTCGCCGTCCGAGTCCTCCACTTCATTCACAAGCCACACAGATGAAGACGTTGGCTTTGGGCGGACCAGGGCTGGAGAAGGCCGTCTAGGCTCTGCTAGAGAGTTGTTGCTAGATCCTTCAGCATAGTTCGAATCGCACTCTGCTGACCATCGAGATGTCACTGTCGACAAATGAGTTTTGAAGCGATCCGAAGAGAAATCAGTCGTAGGTTCCGGAGGGGTGGGCTCCGCGACAACCTCGGAAGTAGATACATCGACCCTTGAGCTTGACGATGAAGGAGCGCGTATTGTCGGATACTGCAAGAAAACCCCGCTGTCGACGATCGCCTGAATATCGGAATTAGGCCCGCTCCGCGATGAGGACGTGAGAGAGCGAGAATGGCTTCGCCCGCGTGGAAGCGTTGAGTTTGATTGAACTGGGTGCACCTGATTGGAGGGATTGGACCGGAATGATTGTGAGCGTGAACGCGAAAGCGAGCTCGAGTGTTCGGAGGATGAACCGTGAGTCCACTGAGCCGCTCCGATATACCTGATGACCGTTCCCAAGGAATTTAAAGACGATAAGGAGTTAGATCGAGTAACCGAGCCTGGATTTGAAGAGGCACCAAGTCGCACAAAGTTCAAACTTGAGTTGTCGAGGGCCACGAAGTTCGGGCTAGATGGAGGTCCAATAGGAACCACGTTCGGGCTAGAATGGCTTGAGCCAAGGGTTTCCGGGCCAGATGGGTGACGCGATGAGGTCCGTGACATCACGGGCTTGATTGTTGGAGGGACCTGGGGTAATGTATTCGGTTCCTCATCTGAATAAGCGGCAATAGAAGCTGAATCGGACTTGAGGCCGGTGGGTTTGTCTTCTGGAGGCAAAAGATCGGGGAATGATGACTTGCTCGACAACGGATCGTCTTCCCATACTTGCGATGGAGTGTTTGCGGCATCGAACGTCGAGGATAAATCCCAAGGGTCACTGGCGGTCCGTTGGAAAAAGCTGCTGTCGGCAATTTGGCTTAACTCCGTTGAGGTATTCCCAGCATAATGATCCGGTGCTTCGTCGACATGGAATCGGGAATCCGGGATAAATTCATGTCCTTTTCCAGGCCGCGGGAGGAGAATCTGCTCCGGTTTGGTCGGATACGGCGTAGCTGAATACACATCGTGTTCTTCCTGGCCGGCGTGTTTGTCACTCGTGGCTCGGAGGGACGCAGGTGGGGAGGACTCGTTCGTCTGGGACGGACTGCGCTCGTGGAGAGCTCTCCGTGCTGGGAGACTCGTTGAAGGTCCAGTCGAGCGCATGTTGTGCAAATTAGTTCATTATTATCACTATACACCAGTTATTTTGGTCGGGCTGTCGAGTAAACCTGCGGGCGGCGACCCGGTAAGGCTGGTGGTATAATTGACGACAAGGAGTTCACAAGAAACAAGAAACGTAGATCGAAGAACAGAAAAGAGAAAACGCCCACGCCCGACTGGGGGGGACTGGGACTGGAGATGGCGAAGAATGGAGATTAAAGATGATCTTCGATCATCAGCTCGGTTTGGGGCACCAAGCGACCACACAAACGGACCGCTCGATGGAGCGATTGACAACCCGCAGTTGCCGGCGATGGTCCCGTTGATGTTTGTTGTGGTCTATAGAATTTTATGATGCAATGAAGAATGTCTCGACACAGAAACGACGACGTGATGGTTTAAGGGAGCGTAACTAAGCTGTCCACCGGGGCACTACAGCCAAGGGAGAGTGGATCCGACCGAAAAAATGCCCGGAGTTGGATTAGCGAGAGCGAGTCAAGACCCCCAATGGAGCCAGCTTAATAAGGGCGGGGCGCGATATTAACGAGAGAATAACAACTGGAATAGTAAAAGAGTGTCTAACCCGAGACCAGGAAAATAATCAAAGAACGATTCGAAAAGAGCGACGAAAGGAAGGAGGACTGGAGGAAAGGGGACCACAATCTGAAACGACCAGGCCGGACTAAGCCGTAATATTTAAACGCCCCGGAGTCCGGGTTCCCAGCGGCGGTGAACCATGGATGAGATCAATAGATGAAGAGAGATGAAGAGACTTGTCTTTCCACCCCTCTTTGGCTTCGGTGGAGGGGGACAGGGATACTCGATCCAGGGGGGTCATGCAGACTGCACGCTCTAGAGCGCCATTTGAAACCGCACGATTGGTGGTCGAAAGGGATGGGCCTGCAGCCTGCAGCTCGTCGCTTTTTCCGGCTTCCCTTTGGGCAGACAATGGCCTACCTGCTCCGCCCATGGTCGCCTCAAAACTTGCGAGGGGGACGGACAGCTAGCGGGATGGCGCGGGATGGCCGCCAGGGAGAAAGGGTGGGAGAGGGTCTGGCCCGATGGACAGTTCCAACATCCAGTAAGTACTCCGTACGGTTTCTCTCGAATCTTGATAGTCTCCCGGCTCCAAACATTCTTCGCCGTTCGGATCCAAGACAAATGTGGTCGCAGATCAACATGTGTTCGGGAAAGTACATCCAGCTATCGTCATCAAGTACGGATTTGTGCTCTGCTGCGATCGAGATTCAGGCCTGGCCGAGGTCATTTCGCTTCGCGTTGATCTAAGAATATCCGCCTTCCACCCCTCGAACCAGAGTTGAATGAACTCAGACCAGGAGTTCGAAGATTGCGAAGTGGAGTGAGAAGCAGGCACCATTTAAAGTCGACTGTGGGCACGGAAGACGCAAGTCGGTCGGTTGGCCATGATTCACTGGAAATGCAAGGTCCGCTTGGTCGTATGTACAGTACATATCATAAGAGGTGCATATGCATATTCTGTACTGCACGCTGAACGTAATCTAGGCCCTACAGTACCAAGTTGTATGCCGTACGACTCGATCACAGGCGGGGAGAGGATGGGGCGGCTTAGCCTCTCATCAATCTCCACGAGGGCATCGATTGTAATGTGACGAGTCCAAATCGTGGAGGGAGTAATCGTGCTAGCGTGGCAGACCTCGAGGGCCTGAGTCCAACTGCTCCACCGCAGAAAACACTAGTACTTAGTAGCAAGTTGTCGTGGGCGAGAGAAAAAAACAAAAAAAAAAAAAGGAGGCCAGCGATTCCAGAAGGTTTCATTGGCAGTGGAGAGAAATATCTTGGTCTTTTTTGTTCCCAGCTAGCCCAATAATAATCGTCAGGGGCAATTGGCACTTGGCAGAAAACGTACAGTACCGTTGTCGGTCGTCGGAGCCACGGATCCTTTCTGGCGTTTTCTCCCTAAGCTTGCCAACTCATCCCAAGTGGAGTCTGTCAACCGAAGTAGTGAGGATGAGGTACCAAAGTTTGCTTATTACTCATATTACCGCGGCGCCCGAGGATGACAGTGGGGTTGTTCATAAAGGACGAAGACGACGACCGGACGGCACAAAGAACCCTGAATCCACGGATGGCAGATCTTGGGATCCATCTTTCGCAGAGTTCGATCGGAAAAACAGAATGTGATGGATCTAGCCAATATGGGGGATGTTCATAAATAGAGAGGAGAGAGGTACTTGGAAGGAGGGGGATGTTTTGGGGAGGAGGAGGAGGAAGAGGAGGGTGAGGAGACTGAGGACTGAGGAGAAGATGTACTGTAAGTTATGAGTAGGTACTAGAGTACTCCGTACTTACTCTGAGTACTACGAGTAGTAACTTAGCCGCTAGATGGAATCTCGATCCAGACAGAAGTCCCGGTTGCGGGACGATCCTCAGGCACCATCAAAGCAAGCTTCTTCGTCATCGCCTCGCCAACTAATATGTAACTTATGGTGTGCGTGCAATTGTACATACTCCAGCACTAACATATTCGTACTCACACTGTGTACTCAAAACCAGGGGATGTTCCAGATCTCGAGATCTCTTTCCGCCGCCGTCAATCCTTATATTGGCCCCTGTGGTCGTCATTCGAGCCTTGTACCTACTGAAACTCTCTCGTCATCCCCCCTTCTTTCTTTTCTATGGTCCCACTTGAACTGGATATTTGAGAGGGCGAGACTGTACAGATTGATGTACAGTCCGGATAGCAGTTGGAAGAACGGTGAACGAGTTCTAGAGTGTTTCACGTTGTTCTATCGAAGTTTGATGCTGTCCCGATCCATGGTTCAGAGATCGAATCTGCTCCAAGCCAGATCTGGATTAGCACAGGGGAGCTGAAGCAAGATCCAAGGGAGACTCGGAACCTGTGGACCTGGACCTTCTCCTGAATGCCTTTACCTAGCCTGGAGTACTCCGTAATCGTATAGTACTTTGATACTTACCACACTGCAGACCTATTCCTATTCTTGGTGGCGCATACCTGCAATAGTCCACTTGAGAGAATATAGTAATTGCCAAGGTCCAAGGTGATCATAATTACACAGTACATAGGCACAAAGCCCATCCGCCCCCTTTAACGCAATTCAATCAACTTCTCTGTTTGCTTTACAGCCAGCTCGTGGTAACGTACAAGGTAAATATATTGCTCGGCAGGCGATGGTCCTTCGATAGTTTGTCTTCACCCAAATAGAGCGGCAAAGATGAAGCTGAGCAGAGAAAGAAGAGGGCGATAGTCTGAAGCATGGATCTAGAAAGCCTCCGTAGGGAAGGGTGAAGTGCAAGCATGTCAATATGGCAAGATGATGGAGTGGTTGAAGATTCTATACTCCGTAGCAAGTACCTGTAAGTAGTTAGTTATGAATCGGACCTCATGACTAATCACAGGCATAACCAATCTGCATCGGAGGGCTACATGAGCTAAGCCGTTCCGGGCCAAGCCAAACCGACGCCCGGCGGATACGATGACGATTGATGCGAAGAGTCTCCCAGAGCAGCCGGCTTTCGCTAGCTCACAGTAAGGATTGCAACAAGTGAATGATGAAACGAGCATAATGCAAGCGCTTCTACGATTTCGCTCAGGCCAGGTACGGTCAGTCCTGCGACAAAGACCGTGGAATTGTGCCAAACCCTACCCGATCTCCGTTTCCTCCATTTCCTCGAGACATGCGACAACCACCACGCCATCGGCAGCATCTATCGCTAGAAAGCTCGATTTGTTAGCGCTTGACAAGAAATGGCAGGCAAAATGGCAAGCAGACTCTGCCGATTCTCGATCTGAACGTAATGCTGCGGGGGATACCCAAGGAACGGAAGAGAGGCCTAAGTCTTACGTCCTGTCTATGTTCCCTTATCCGTCGGGAACCTTGCACATGGGCCATTTGCGAGTGTATACCATCTCAGATGTGCTGGCTCGGTTCTATCGCATGCGAGGACATGACGTTTTACATCCAATGGGGTGGGATGCATTTGGGCTGCCAGCAGAGAACGCCGCGATTGAGCGGGGGATAGACCCGGCGGAATGGACCAACAGCAACATGTCTAAGATGAAGGAACAGTTACGGAGCATATCGACCTCTTTCAACTGGGAGTCTGTGAGTGGTTACCGGGATATCCCACCTCGTTCTGATGTTCGTCTCTCTACCGTGAGAACAACACTGATGTTTACTCGAACATGCAGGAATTCGCGACGTGCTCACCGGAATTTTACGAACAAACGCAACGGATATTCCTAATGCTTTACGAGAAGGGCCTCGCATATCAGGATGAAGCAGTTGTGAACTATGATCCCGTGGATAAAACGGTACTCGCGAATGAGCAGGTGGGTGCTGAGATACAAGGAGTTCTCATGGCCGTTGGACTGACCGCGGCACTAGGTTGATGCCAACGGTTGCTCGTGGCGCTCCGGCGCGAAGGTCGAAAAATTGAAACTCAAACAGTGGTTCTTCCGTATCACAGCTTTCAAGGAGATGCTCCTCAAGGACCTGGACTCCTTGTCTGGCGAATGGCCGGAACGTGTGCTCTCAATGCAGAGAAACTGGCTAGGAAAATCGCAGGGCGCGAATATCCGGTTCCCAGTCACCATTGATGGCAAGCAAGACGCAAGTACTGATATCGGCGTGTTCACAACGCGACCAGATACTCTTTACGGAGTTGAGTATCTCGCCTTGTCTCTGAATCATCCCCTCGTCCTAGAGTCCGCAAAGAAGGACTTTGAGCTGCAGAAGTTCCTCGATACTGCTGCTTCGCTCCCAGCAGATTCGAAAGCTGGCTACAAATTGACCACCCTGACTGCCTCCCATCCTTTACATGTTATTGATAAGGAAAGTCCTCATGTTGCTCGGCCGCTACCTATCTTTGCGGCGCCCTACGTTCTCAGTGACTACGGTGAAGGCGCAGTGATGGGAGTCCCCGGTCACGATGCTCGAGATCTTGCGTTTTTCAAGGAGAACGTGAACCCAGAGTCTATACCTGTTGTCATCGGGCCCCGACGGGAAGGCAAACAAGACGAATCTAGCACCAGTGTCGTTTCGTCCAATGACGCCAAGGCATTCACGCAGGAAGGTTATCTCAATTCCCTGTGTTGGAAGTACCAGGGTCTGCACTCAAGTGACGCCAAGAAGCAGATCGTTAACGATCTCAAGCAAGTCGGCCGCGGGGACTTTGTGGAACAATGGAGACTGAGAGACTGGCTGATAAGCCGACAGCGTTACTGGGGTACTCCGATTCCCATCATCCATTGTGATAGTTGCGGTCCTGTTCCCGTCCCGCCAGACCAGCTTCCCGTCAAACTGCCCAAGATTCAAGGCGACTGGCTGAAGGGCAAGAAGGGCAACCCACTCAAATCATCGCACGACTGGGTGAACACGCAATGTCCAAGCTGTGGTCACTCGGCCAAGAGAGACACGGATACCATGGATACTTTTGTTGACTCTTCGTGGTACTATCTCCGATTCTTGGACCCTAAGAACAAACAATCGCCCTTTTCGCCGTCTGTGGTGCGACCGGTTGACGTCTACGTTGGCGGCGTTGAACATGCGATCCTGCACCTTCTATACGCCCGGTTCATCTACAAGTTCCTTTCACAGTCCGAACTATTCCCAGAGTTAGCTCGCGCTGGAAACGTGTCGGGTCCATTTGAACCCTTCAAGTTCCTCCTTTCACAGGGAATGGTGCATGGCAAGACATTCTCAGATCCAGCTACAGGCAAATTCCTCCTTCCTTCGGAGCTGGACCTGTCAAATCCAGATAAACCACTTATCAAAGGGACGCAAGTTACGCCAGCGATATCCTTTGAAAAGATGTCGAAAAGTAAGCACAACGGTGTCGACCCGACGGGGTGTGCTTTGAAGTATGGCGCAGATACTATTCGCGCCCATGTCCTCTTTTCCGCTCCGGTCAGCGAGGTGCTGGAATGGGACGAGACGAAGATTGTTGGTATGGAGCGCTGGTTTGGCCGGCTCTGGAAGCTCGTGACTGACACCCAGCAAACGTTGTCCTATTCGTCAATTGCGTTGGACATATCGGACTTGAAGGCATCTTCCGGCCACGCGCTTACGATTCCCGGGGCCCTACAAAGCCTGGCTGATGGTGACGCTACCGCTCTCCTTACCACACATCGAACCATATGTTCCGTCACCAACTGCATTGAGACCAATCGCTATGGCCTGAACACCGTCGTTTCCGACCTGACCAAGCTAACCAATGCTCTTGTATCATCCACCCCCACCTCACCCGAGGTTCTCTACCTGACTGTTTCGTCCCTGCTGCGTCTTCTCTCGCCAATTGCTCCGGCTCTTGCCTCCGAGTGCTGGGAGATCCTGAACGGCTCGGTGGTGACGAGGAACTCCGCCGGCGCCGCTTCGGAAACGGCGGCTATCCCAAGTATATTCGACTGCAACTGGCCCACACCCCTTCTGGCCCCCGCCGAGGCCGACATGCTGTCCGCACGAGGAGGGCAGACCGTTGCGGTTCAAGTTAACGGAAAATTGCGATTCAGTGTGACAATCCCGCAACGACTTTCGCCCACGACAACCGAAGCCAACGCGAATACCACCGATGAACAAGACTGGATTATCAGTCGCATTCTAGAGACCGATGAAGGACGAACATGGCTGCGGGAGAAGAACGACTGGGAGAAGCGCCGACGAGTAATTGTTGTCAAAGGCGGCAAGGTGGTCAATGTTGTGTTCTAGAGGCGGCATCATATCGCCAGAAGCTTCGAATCATGTTTGATGTTTCACGCGAAGCATGCGCTGCCTGTTGTTTCGGAAAAAATTGTACTATAGATAGAAGACATCCTGATAGGATGAATAGAATATACCATTACTGAAACAAACTTTGTGGTTCGTGCAGATTGTTGTATGGGAATCAGTAAAAATTTCACACCCAACTTTGCTCGCGACACCCATGATGAAGGGCGCTTTCGCCCGATACTGTGTTATGGGCGCCCGGGCGTCGCAAGCGCTCCGTGAGTCCGGAGGAGAGTTTCAATATTGGGGTCAACGAACAGACCGGCGTATCGTGTGATGCGACAAGACCGGCAGGGCAATGGGTGTAGGCAACCTGAATGAGGAGGCAGACACGCCGACCTCTACGCTGGTGGTGGGGAACAGACGGATGGCTTCCCCTCATGCTGCCGCCGCCGCCGCCGCCGCCGCCGCTGCGAGCGCGGCACGGTCGGGGTCGGGCGTGACGTCGGTCTCAAATCATGGAGACTCCGATGTGGTTCTCGTCCAAGGCATCATCGTCACTTGAATGATGGTATTTTCTCCTAGAAGACCAAAGTCGGAGATAATGCGGTCGAAGGTCGGTTTCAGGAAGTGGAGGATTCGGATTCGCACTTGAGTGGAAAATCGCTTCGGTCGGGGGGGGGGGAAGGGTGGAGGTAGAAGACGCTCAAGCTTCGGTCATCAGTTAACTTATCGGTTATCGGACGTCGACCGCGCTTGTGCTGCCCACCCCACGGCGAAAGTTATCGTAAGAGAGTCAAGCTCTAGTAGACACATAGACGTCTGTTCTGTGTGTGATACTGAGCTACACAGAACGAAATGAAGCGACTCTTCGTCGGTAACGTTTTCACATGGGCTCCTGGCCTGCTATGAGAGACAGCATTTGGGAGGCCATGCGGGGAGACTTTTTGGTGAGGAGTCAAATTACCCCTCAGGCAGGGTTGCTTCCCCTCATGAGGGGAACGGATGGAGCTATCCGAACCGGGTGGAATGCGGGACAATCATGGATGAATGGATGGTAAGATTCCTGGCAGTCCAGTCCACTCTTCTACCCGGTCTCTAACTGACAGCCAGACAAAACAGTAATTCTGTCCGTTGATTGTCTCAATAGAGCCAAAAGAACCATTCATAGTCGTAGTCCCGACCCAGCACTGCAGTAGCGCCGCGGCAATGCTATGCGGGGCCAATCCTGGGCCGATCGCCCTGCCAGGTACTGAGACGTGGCTCCGAGTTACTAAGGATCTGGCAAAGGCTCGGCCCTCGCTCGGATTCCCCCTCATCGGCTCACCACGGCTACTGTAGCCTACTGTAACTTGAGTTACATTGCATTGCATTCTAGATCCCCGCATGAGCTTTGGACTTCTTGAAACATAGTGACATCGTACGTGTCCTGTACTGTGTGTAGATATGTCATCTCTGAAAGAAGTGAGCTCCAAACGCACACAGGATAGTCTCACTACTCTACCTACACATACTTTGCCTCATTAGTACCACCTAGTAGTAACTTATTGACTATGGACTATTGACTATCGACGAGGGAGTCCCGCGTGCGGAGAAAGCTTGGTGAATCCCCCAACTGGGAAGATCTGCCATCTGCCATGGTTTGATCCACCCCTCTTTCCGAGTCTAGTCCTGTTACTGTACTCCGTACCCACACCCACCTCATACTGCCTGCGGTACCCCCTCTCCTCCCCCCCTCCTCCTCCTCCCGGGACTCCTCCGCTCCCTCTTGCCGGAAGACGGAGGAACGGATAGTGTACTAGGTACAGTACCTTACTTACTATACTCTACCTAGAATAGTAATGATGGAGTAGTAAGTAAGGTACCCATCATGTACAATCAGTACAACCACGAGAGAGGGGAAAAGACAACTCTCTGAGAATGTAGGGAAATCGACCTATATATTTGGCCAAATTCCCCCGCCCTGTAAGTTCTGACTTCTATTCACCATCAGTGTCTCTCTCCTATCATCTCATCCTATCATCATTCTTGGGTCATCTTCCCATTCTCTTCCTTGCTACCAAGGTCCACGCCTAATCAAGTGCCAACCCGCTTTCGGTAAGTCTATTTCCCCTCAGCGTCGTTGTTGAGACAATTCTTGCCTGCAGTACAGTCTGCAGCTGTTTTGGAGATCGCCCCCTTCTGCCTGTCATCTTTCCCCGCTCTTCCTTGCTGCATTGCATCAAGCTCGCAAAGGTCTCCGATCACTGGCAGTAACGATGGTGGTGGCTGCGGGCCAGAATCTTACCTTGTCTTCTCCAACTTCTTTCATCACTACTGGGTGGGTATATATAATGGCAAGCTGACCCTCCGCTTTACAGGTCTACAAGATCAGATCCTTCAGTTCTTCTCTCTCTCTCAATCAATCAATCATCAGTCAATTTGACTCTACTCCTTCAAAATGGTATTTATGCGCTCTTTCTCCCGTCAACTTCGACGGCCTGCGGCTTCTCTTCTTTCTAGCAGAGGCCCTCTCGCATCGGCTGGCAGCAGTCCCTTGCGGACCTCGCCTCTGGCCAACTCCATTACTGGTGCACGTACGCTAACCGCCTCGGCCAATCTACAGGGCAAAATTCTTATGGTTCTCTATGACGTAAGTCCGTCTGCGGCTTCGGCCTCATCATCAATGACGACAAAACATTGACTAACAAACAATGAACAGGGCGGTGAGCACGCCAAGCAGCAGCCCGGTCTTCTGGGTACCACCGAGAACGAGCTTGGCTTGAGAAAGTGGCTAGAGGACCAGGGCCACACTTTGGTTACCACCTCTGACAAGGAGGGTGAGAACTCCACTTTCGACAAGGAGCTCGTTGATGCCGAAGTCATCATCACCACCCCGTATGTGGCTTCCCCTAGCATTTCCTATTATGTCCCCCCCCGGGAAACCTTTTCAGCCACTAACTCAGTTGGTTCAGCTTCCACCCCGGTTACCTTACTGCGGAGCGTTTGGCCAAGGCCAAGAACCTTAAGATCGCCGTCACTGCCGGTGTTGGTTCCGACCACGTCGACCTCAACGCCGCCAACAAGACCAATGGCGGTATCACTGTGGCCGAAGTCACTGGCTGCAATGTTGTCTCCGTTGCGGAGCACGTTGTCATGACTATCCTGACCCTGGTCCGCAACTTCGTGCCCGCCCACGAGCAGATCCGGAACGGTGAGTGGGACGTTGCTGCTGTCGCCAAGAACGAGTACGATCTGGAGAACAAGGTTGTCGGCACTGTCGCTGTCGGCCGCATCGGTGAGCGTGTCCTGCGCCGTCTCAAGCCTTTCGACTGCAAGGAGCTGCTCTACTACGACTACCAGCCTCTCTCCCCTGAGGTCGAGAAGGAGATCGGCTGCCGCCGTGTTGACGACCTCGAGGAGATGCTCGCCCAGTGTGATGTCGTTACCATCAACTGCCCTCTACACGAGAAGACTCGTGGTCTGTTCAACAAGGACCTCATCTCCAAGATGAAGAAGGGTAAGATACCTGTTTCTGAATTGACATAAAATCTCCGACACTAAACCAACTCTTCAGGCTCGTGGCTCATCAACACCGCTCGCGGTGCCATCGTTGTCAAGGAGGACGTCGCCGAGGCCGTCAAGTCTGGTCACTTGAGAGGCTACGGAGGTGATGTCTGGTTCCCTCAGCCCGCCCCCAAGGATCACCCTCTGCGCTACGTCCAGGGCCCCTGGGGCGGCGGCAACGCCATGGTTCCCCACATGTCCGGTACCTCCATCGACGCCCAGATCCGTTACGCCAATGGCACCAAGGCTATCCTCGAGAGTTACTTCTCCGGTCGCCACGACTACAGAAACGAGGACCTCATCGTCCACAACGGTGACTATGTCACTCGCGCCTACGGTCAACGCAACAAGGCTTAAACCCTGGAGGACATTAATATGAAATATATGACTCGAATAGTTCGGCAGATGTTCCTGGTTTGAACGTCTCCTTGGCGATTTAGCTATTTATGATACCTTCAAAATACAAATATCTTCAGATCAAATTCTTGGTGCATGGCATCGGGCTGTCTCCGCAGCTGCCCCACACATCCGTAAGCTTGGAATGTTGAACCCTGACGTAGAGTTTCCTGGCTATGCCTTGAACCCTTGACAATAGTCTTATGTCTGGATTTCTTTCGCAATAAGGCCACACCCCGTGCCGCCGCAATGGACTCCGGAGTTGCAGTATTCATGCAACCTCCAGGCCCTGGATATTGTGTTCCTGTGCGAATCAATGGCCGCTTCAGCCTGATCGACTCGAATCTAAACTTTGCTTAGCTACACAACATAATTTCTACGCGTGGCTTTTACTTCATGCACTGCTTTCCATCATCATCATCATCATCATCATCATACTCTCCTCATTACTCGCAGACTCGCACTGTGGTACGGTGTGAGGACACCCTCGGTGAGATGTGTGATTTTGTGACAGCATTCAATATAAATCTATAGGTATTAAGACATGGGAAGCGGATGATTGCAAAACTAGCGCCGGGACTGTGAATGCGGCGGATGGCCCTCGTCCTCGTCCTCACTGTCATCCATGAACCCGGCCTCGAGTTCCCGGCTGAGTCGTCTTCCCGAGTCGATAACTGCGCTGCGTTGCCGTTCAAGGGCCCCTCTGCGCTCTACATCCATGTCCATGCCGACCATGATCTCGCCCTCTTCATCGTAGATACTGATATTGTCATCCTGGTCGGCCAGATGCTGCCGCTGCCACGAGGAGGGCAAGAACCGGCGCATGATGGCATCGGCGATGCGGTCCCGAAGGGTCAACGTGTGGGCGGAGATCGTGTGGAGCGGCAGGTACTGGGAGTATCGCTGATGATATCGTCGAAAGAAGGGGATAATCACGAAGGAGAAAAGGAGGTAAAGGGTTAGCGAGATCACCGCGGGGATGATCATCGTCTGCGCAAGGAAGCCGTCGGTTAGGGACATGACGAGTCAGATATGAGGACTGATGGAGGAAGAGGTCACCTTTGCGAAGTTCGATGCGGAACCCATCTTGGTTGGCAAGTATCTCCGTCTGGGCCCAAAAAAACTGAGGCTGATCGTGTGTCGTCCGTCAACTATCCAGCAGACAGAGGAAGCGGAAGCGAATCGGAGGAGGAAATCGGAGGAGCAATCGGAGCAGGCAGCAATCGCAAGCGGGTGAACCAATGCACGATGCAAGGCTGTATGATTCAACCCCCAAGAGACAGAAGATTAAATTGCCATAGTAACCAAAAATCCCCACAGATACAGCGGTTCAACCATCCGGGAAATTTAACACAGCAGAGTGGAACAGCACATGGTCTGGCTATTCTTTCTAGTAACCTGCGGCCGATGAGGCCGCCGATAACCTCCGTGCACGTGATACCTACAGCAGCCATGGCAGTCAGTCTATCTATACTTATAGGACTGAGATTGGTAGGCGGTCAAGGGGACATGCAGTGCCGTGCAGTTGCAGTCAGTCTCCGTACAAAGATAGAATCATATCACATCACGTGGCAGGACTGTTACTCTGGGGAGATGGTGTTCTAGAGCCGCTCTTCAATAATGCCGCCCCCCTGATGCCCCGTGCTTTACACTCCGTCCTGACATGCAAAAAGACTCCAGCCACTAAACCACGTCCTAGAAGGGTTTTTATTTTCCACAGCTGGAGTAGGATAGCCCTACTAGGTACTAGGTGGGAAATCTGAACCTTGTGACTCAGAATAGATAGATCGCCTCTTTCCCTTCGTTTGCGATCCATACATCGAGGGAATCTCCGTGGTGTTCAGAAGGCGGAATTCCCACCTCTCTCTCTTTCTGTCTCTCTCTCCCCCTCCTTCTTCCTTCCTTCCTCCCTCCTCCCTCCATCCCTCCTCCCTCTTTCTTTTACTCTTACGCCCGCTCCGCTGCGGGTAATAATAATTTTTTTTTAGTCAGTTCAGGAGTGCGAAGACCTACGCCAGCGCCTTGGATGTTCTTTTCTTTCCCTCCTTCTCTCTCTCTCTTTTTGATCCTTCCTCTCACTCGAAACTCAGCGACAACCCCCGGAAATCGGACGAGTCGTTAGGACGGAAGGAAATATTATCATTAGCGATCGCTTCAGCCTACTCGTTCCTCAGCGGCTTTCGCTCATGCTGCGCTTTGCATCTCCCAAGCGACGTTCGTCAAGATGCCAACCAGCACGTCTGCGCCTGAAAAATCGAGACAGACCTCCGCTGGGAAGTCGTTCTTCGGAAGGAAGTTACACAAAGAGAAGTCGGTAGACGAACGTTACGACTCGCATGGCTCGCACGATAGCCTGGCGCCTCCTGGGAGCGTCCCCGGCTCTCGCTCATCCCGCCATTCCAAACGGTCCTCCGTCCAGTCCGTGGATTATCCCCACGAGTTTGATCCCACGGGCGTGTCCATGACCGCAGGTGTCCTGACTTCGATCCCCTACGAGAGCTTACCCGCCGATACCCGATCGCCTGTCCCCGTCGATCACCTGTCAAGACCTAGCTCGTCCTCACGCAAGGAACCGTCACCTAACCATCTCGCCAAAGGAAACAGCGACTACCACCAGTACCCGGCATGGAACCCGGCCAGCGCCCCCAACAATAATACCACCCCCGCCAACAACACCAACAGCGCTTCGTCGCACCCAACTGGCCCCCGGCCACCTCCGCATGGCTTGAATGTGACCATGACGGCAAGTACATCGGGGGATAAGGGCGCTCGATATCAACAGTGGGGACGCCCGGGCAGCTCTGCCGCCAATACTGGCTTTAGCCATAGCTCCTCTTCTACGCTTGATTCGTCGGCGCAGTCGCGGTTGTCCTTCGACCAGCTTAGTGTTCATTCATCGATGTCATCTAACACTCGTGGTTCAAGCTATTATGCATCAGAGAGCTCCTCGCGCACGCTGACACCTTCGCATTCCGCCGATCGCACAACCTATGCATCAAATGGCAGTTCTAGCCGCCTGTCGAATGCACAGGCGGCATGGCAATCAACCCAGCCCGCTCAACCACCCAAGATTCCGGTCAACCAGGAGCAATACCTCGCCCGGCCGAGGGACGATCGAGTGGTGGATCAACTGTTTATCGAGCTGATGCAGAAACGAGGATGGCAGAACCTCCCGGAGCAGGCCAAACGACAGATGCTCGCTTATCCGGCTTCGAAGAAGTGGACCTTGGTGCACCAGGACCGGTTGACGGAGATACAGGGGGAACAGAAGCGGCGCCAAAATGCTCGGCAGACTCACGGCCATGATGGACCCTCGGGTATCCTGGAACGCGCTGATGAGGAGGGCAGCCCCGAGTGGTATGTGAAGAAGGTTATGGACGATTCAATCACCTCGAAACAGTTGGCCAGTCTAAGTGTCAGCCTACGAACGCAGCCAATCAGTTGGGTCAAGGCGTTTGTTGAGGCGCAGGGTCAGATTGCTTTGACAAATGTGCTTGCCAAGATCAATCGAAGGAAGGCTACAGGTGTCGTCCCAGCTCCCCCGACAGGGGATAAGGATTTGGATCGTGAATATGACATTGTCAAATGTTTGAAAGCCCTGATGAACAACAAATATGGAGCAGACGATGCTCTTGCACATCAACAGGTCATTGTGGCTCTTGTTAGCTCACTGCTATCCCCTCGACTGAATACGCGAAAGCTGGTCAGCGAAGTATTAACCTTTCTCTGTCACTGGGCCGAAGGTCATGGGCACCAGAAGGTCCTCCAGGCTATGGACCATGTTAAGAATCATCATGGGGAAACCGGCCGCTTTGACGCCTGGATGCGTATTGTGGAGGTGACCATCGATGGCCGAGGGAAAATGGGCAGCTTGGTTGGCGCAAGTGAAGAATATCGCAGCGGCGGCATAGGCATGGAGAATCATCTCATGGAATATGCTGTTTCAACCATGCTGCTCATCAATATGTTGGTGGATGCGCCCGAGAGCGATTTGCAGCTCCGCTGTCATATCAGGGCCCAGTTCATTTCTTGCGGCATCAAGCGCCTCATGACCAAGATGGAAGGCTTTCAATACGAGGTCATCGACAAGCAAATTGAACGGTTCAGGGATAATGAAGCCATTGACTACGAAGACCTGCTGCAACGGGAGAGCAGCAGTATGAAGGACAGCATCGAGGGCGAGGTCAAGGACATGAGTGATCCTTTGCAAATCACAGACGCCATCACCGCCAGGATCCAGGGCACTCGGGCTCATGATTACTTCCTATCGGCCATGCAGCACATGCTCCTGATCCGGGAGAATTCTGGCGAGGATGGTCTTCGTATGTACCAGCTGGTGGACGCTATGCTCAGCTATGTCGCTATGGACCGTAGGCTTCCCGATCTTGACCTCCGACAAGGGTTGACCTTCACCGTGCAAAGTCTGCTGGACCGCCTACATACAGACTCCGAGGCAAGACGGGCTTACGATGAATCCTTGGAAGCTCGCCAGATCGCGGAGGCTGCGCTTGCGGAGCGCGATGAGATGAAGGCCCAGGTAGAGCTTGGCGCAGATGGCTTGGTTAAGAAGCTGCAGAAACAGATCGATGAGCAGACAGGGATTATCGAGCTGCAACGGAGACGTGAGGAAGCGATGCAGGCGGAGCTTGCGGATGTTCAGAGACTGCGGGCTCAAGAGTTACAGCGGAATGAGCTGGAAACTCGAGAACTCTACCTCATGCTCCGAGACGCTCAAGATATAGCTGCATCGAATGCCAAGAAGAGCAACATGGCCGAAGCGGATCCTTCACAGATGAGAGGCATCCTCGACCGAGAGAAGCTTCTGGAGCGATTGGAGATGCAGCTCGAGCGGACCAAGACACAATTCAAGCTGGAGGGCAAGGTATGGGGTCAACATGTTACCTCAGATAGACTGCGTGAGCTTCGAGAGCAGATGGATGGCGAAGCCGATGTCGACAATGAGTTTGGACAAAGGACAGGTCAAGGCCTGGACGTCAACGCCTTTGGATCGGTTCATCGGAAGAGAAGCCATCTACCGGGCATGGACCAAGACGACAGTTCCGAGATTCAGACGCCGGTCGATGAATCCGGTGAGGTCATATACGAGAAGGCACGCCTTGTGGATCTTCATCGGCCCAAAGTCAACCCTAAGCATGCCAACGGTCTCCTGGGAGAAATTGCCTCGAAGGTTCCCAAGATTGATGCTGAGGAGGCTGAGGATGCTGAGGCAAATGGCTCCGTGGACAACAAACTTGCTGGACCTGGAGCAGAAGATCCCACTGCCAGCTCACATCAAGAAGGAGCCAGGGTCGAGGGTGCAACTGAAAAGGTCGAAAATAAAGGTGCTCCTGCTCCTGCTCCTCCACCCCCACCCCCGCCTCCGCCTCCTCCCGCCCCAGGAGGGCTGGGATTCGCTCCTCCCCCTCCTCCCCCTCCTCCGCCTCCTCCTGCGCCAGGAGGGCTGGGGTTTGCTCCTCCACCTCCCCCGCCTCCGCCCCCGCCCCCACCGCCAGGAGCTGTTGGGGTTCCACCTCCGCCCCCTCCGCCTCCTCCACCACCCGGAAAATCAGGGTTCCCGCCACCTCCGCCCCCTCCTCCCCCGCCGCCCGGTGGAAGACCTGGCCCCCCCCCACCACCTCCTCCGCCCGGTGCTTCTTTCGGTGCCCCTCCACCCCCTCCACCGCCTGGTGCTGGTGGATTCGGAGGCTGGCGCGCAAACTACATGGCTTCCCAAGCCCTGCCTCATCACCAGACAGCTCTCATGCCATCTATTCGGCCAAAGAAGAAACTCAAGGCACTTCATTGGGATAAGGTCGATACTCCGCAGGTGACCGTGTGGGCATCTCATGCTCCTACTGCCCAAGCAAAGGAGGAGAAGTATGTGGAGTTGGCGAAGAAGGGAGTCTTGGATGAAGTCGAGAGACTGTTCATGGCAAAAGAAACCAAGATTTTCGGCAAGGGCGCGGGAGGCAAGCAGCGTACGGATAAGAAACAACTCATCTCCAACGAGCTGTCCAAGACTTTCCAGATTGCTATGGCCAAATTCTCTCAATTCCCTGCTGACGATGTTGTACGAATGATTATTCATTGCGACACGGAAATTCTCGACAACATGGTCGTTATGGATTTCCTACAGAGGGATGAGATGTGCACCATTCCCGAGAATATCTCAAAGTCTATGGCGCCATACAGCAGAGATTGGACCGGTCCAGATGCCGCCAGCGCCGAGCGGGAGCAGGATCCCACTGAGCTCACGCGCGAAGACCAGATCTACCTTTATACCGCGTTCGAACTGCACCATTATTGGAAGGCAAGAATGCGTGCTCTTGCGTTGACACGCTCGTATGAGCCAGACTATGAACATATCTCCGCCAAACTGCAGCAAGTCGTGCAGGTCAGCGAGTCTCTGAGAGACTCCGTGGCCCTAATGAATGTTCTTGGCTTGATCTTGGACATTGGTAATTTCATGAACGATGCCAATAAGCAAGCTCAAGGTTTCAAACTGAGTTCCCTCGCCCGCCTCGGTATGGTGAAGGATGACAAGAACGAGACTACATTTGCAGACCTGGTGGAGCGAATTGTTCGAAACCAGTATCCCGAGTGGGAGGGCTTTGTGGATGAGATTAACGGCGTTGTCGCCATTCAGAAGCTCAACGTCGACCAACTGCGCACGGATGCTAAGAAGTACATAGATAATATCAAGAACGTCCAAGCCAGCTTGGACGCTGGCAATCTTAGTGATCCGAAGAAATTCCATCCTCAGGATCGGGTCAGTCAGATCGTTCAAAGAAGCATGAAGGATGCTCGTCGCAAGGCCGAGCAGATGCAGCTCTACCTGGACGAGATGGCCAAGAGCTATGATGATATCATGGTGTTCTACGGAGAGGACAACACGGATGAAGGCGCCAGGCGGGATTTCTTCGCCAAGTTGGCTACATTCTTGCTGGAGTGGAGGGTAAGTACATGCCGTCTCTTTGCGTTAAAGGCTTCTTCTTGCTAACCGTGATATCAATGTCCAGAAATCCAAGGAGAAGAATATCAGCCTGGAGGAGAATCGGAAACGCATCGAGGCATCTCTGTCTCGCAAGCGGGTCAATGCAGGCCTGGCGAACGGCGCCGGTACAGCTACAGAAGGGCCACAGTCACCCGCCACCAGCGGTGCTATGGATTCACTTCTGGAGAAGCTGCGTGCGGCGGCTCCTCAGGCGAGGGATCAACGCGATCGTCGGCGTCGCGCCCGCTTGAAGGAGAGACATCAAGTCCGCGTGGCTTCGGGACAGAAAATGCCAGATGCCGCTGGGTCTGAAGGCGCAGAAGCCGGACAGACCGAAGAGACTGGCAGCAACGACACGAGCAATGCGAGTGCAATCGATGCCGACTCGGCCAACACGGGCCTTTTGAGTCCTCCGGCTCTGGAGTCCGAAGCTCCTGAGAAATCGAGCCAAGACGCTCAGCCTGTGTTAGAAAGTGATGATGTTGCGGACCGGGCTGCAAGCATGCTGCAGGGTCTTCGGGACAATGTTGACGGCGAGCGTCAAAGAAGAAGACGTGAGACAGCCGAGGAAGAGCGGCGTAAACGCAGGCTGCGGAGACGCAACGGTGCTGCTAGTACCAGCAAAGACAGCGCCGATGGCTTCGTGGTAGCCTCTGCGTCCGAACCACTTTCCCCTCCCCGCACGGATCCGATTGAGCCGGATGATGTGAGTGTCGCCAGTCCTCGAGACGGAGATGAGACAGCTCCTCGAACACCCTTGACGCCATCTATCGTGGTATCGCCAACCGTCGACCAGAAACTTCAGTTACCTGGCGATGACGAGCCGAGCGAAGGCTCTCCCTAAACAATTCCGTGGAGTAGATTGGCTACTACCTATATTTCTCTACTCCATGTCCCTCTTTCCTTCCCTTCCCTTTCCACTCCGCAACGCACATTTCTCTCTCCCGTGCATTTGATGCATGAACTAATCGCATTCCTTCTTTCCTAATCTAATGTGTGATAGACCAACCCATGCCGTCTCGGAAGATGTCACTATGTGTATGATGTTCCCCTGGCTGCGTGTTTCAGACACGTCTGTCTTCGTTTCTTTTGATCTCTTTCGAGGGCTGTCAAGCGGTGATGCACAGTGGCATTGGTGCTTTCGTCTCCTTTCCTTCGTGGCTCCTGCTTAGATTCGTCCCTCCTTGCACCAAGCTGTTGCATTCGCTTCCCGAGTACATTTTCATTTTTCTCTTTGACCCTTTATACATCATGCTTTCCATCTCTTTGATCTCCCAGCGATTCATAGCCTCTGACATTTCCCCCTTTCTTATCTTCCCCACTTCGGCCTTCAGTTTCTGTCTGTGTACATACTCGGCTTTTCATCGGTTTCTTCTTGTCTATTATATCTGGATGTCGTTCCGGCGACAGTTGCATATCTCTGGCGGAGGAGGATTGTGAGGCGTATGGCCGTGTGTCTTTCGGTGCGCAGGCGTGACGAAGGGGCGCAGGGTCCCTGTGATATGACCTTTTCCTACTACATCTACTGGATTACCATTACCACCAAGCTTAGCGCATACGCAGAGTGGTTTCCTAGAATCTGGGACCCGTAACATCTAATGCGATTACAGAGTACTGTACTACTATGAGTGTATCAGTGTATTAGTGTATTACTTGGATGGATGGAACGCGAGTGGGCCAACTGCACGTGATCGACACCTCCGCGGCATTTTGCGCCACGCCAACATTCGAGCCCATCTTCTGTTTACTCCAACTAACGACTGACACCATTTCGCGCATGCGCGGATTCAATCTTCGAACCCTGCGGTGGGCTGCTGCCGCTCGCCCATCGTTGCCGGTGCGGAATCGAGGTGTTTTGTCGAGACGCTCTCCGGCACCACTGCTACTATTAAATGAATCACCACGCCGCTGCTTCTCAGCCTGTCGCCCGGATCTTTCACTCTTCGATGCCGACTCAACAATCTATGCCCTCTCCACCGCTCCCGGGCGAGCCGCTATCGCCGTCGTGCGAGTATCTGGTCCAGCATGCGTGCAGGTATACATTGACATTGACTCGCAGTCCTTCGCTTTCCGTTCCAGCACTCCTCGAAACCTGTCCAGGGAACCACGAACTAACACCTACAATCTGTATGTAGATCTACAATGCTCTCTGCCCCTCCGCGCCCCTCCCCCGTGCCCGGCACGCCGCCGTCCGCACGCTCTACGATCCCCTCCAACCTCTATCCTCGAACACCATCCTCGACGCCGCAGCCTTGGTGCTCTACTTCCCCGGCCCCCGAACCGTGACCGGGGAAGACGTGCTCGAGCTGCACTTGCACGGGGGTCCCGCGATTGTTAAATCCGTCTTGACGGCGATCGCAAACGTCAACCCGTCGTCATCCTCGTTGCCTTCCTCCTCACCATCTCCAACCACAACCACAACAACACATCCGAAGAATCCCCGGGTCCTCATCGAAACCCCCTCCAGAGGAGGAGCCGGAGGGATCATCCGCTACGCCGAGCCCGGCGAATTCACGCGCCGGGCCTTCCTCAACAACCGCCTGGACCTGCCCCAGATCGAAGCGCTGGGGGAGATCCTGCACGCGGAGACGGAACAGCAACGACGGATTGCCGTGCGCGCGGCGAGCAGCAGCAACAGCGGCAGCGGCAGTGGTCCCGACGGGGCCGGCGCGCTGTCGCAACGCTACGAGCAGTGGCGGCATCAGTTGCTGTACGCGCGCGGCGAGCTGGAGGCGCTGATCGACTTTGCCGAGGACCAGCATTTCGACGAATCGCCGCGCCAGCTGGTTGGGTCCGTGGGCCGGCAGGTGCGCACCCTCCAGGCGCAGATCCGGCTGCACATCGGGAACGCCGCCAAGGGGGAGTTGCTGCGCAGCGGGATCCGCGTCGCGCTGCTGGGCGCCCCGAACGCCGGCAAGAGCTCCTTGCTCAATCGGGTCGTAGGCCGGGAGGCCGCTATTGTGAGTACCGAGGAAGGTACTACCAGGGATATCGTCGATGTCGGGGTGGATGTTGGGGGTTGGTTTGTGCGGCTGGGGGATATGGCGGGTATCCGGTCGGAGGATGTTGGGGAGGATGATGAGGAGGGGAGGGGGAGCTCGGCGGTGCGGAATGTGGTGATTGGGGCGGTGGAGAAAGAGGGGATCCGGAGGGCCAAGGCTAGGGCGTTGGAGTCGGATGTTGTCGTTGTGGTCGTCTCGTTGGAGGCTGAGCAGCAGCAGCAGCAGGAGGAGGCAGACAGTGCGGGCAGTGCGAGTGCTTCAGCTTCGCGGTTGGCGGTGGAACGAGAGGTCGTTGATGCGGCGAATGAGTGCGCGCGCGCCGGCCGCTGCGTCGTCGTCGCGATCAACAAGTGTGACCGGCTGCCCGGCCTGGATCGCCTCCCGGATCAGCTGCTTGCCACCGTCCGCACGCTGTTCCCTGCTGTGCCGGCCCGGCGCGTCTTCGGGATCTCCTGCCTGGATGCTCGCCGGGAGACGGGCTCCGTATCTGGCTCGGCGGGGCACGATCCGGGCCACATCCAGCGCTTTCTCCAGGGGTTGATTGCTACGTTTGAGGAGCTGGCCTCCCCGATGGGCATCGAGGAGGATGCCAACGGCCAGTACGACCGCTCCTACTGGGAGGATTCCCTGGGGGTCACCCACCGACAGAGCTCGAACCTACAACGCTGCCTGGAGGATCTCGACGCCTTCATGATCCAGACTCAATCATCGGACCACGACCACCACCAGCTTACACCCGAGTCCGAAGAGGAGGTCGACATCGTCACCGCGGCCGAGCACCTCCGTTCCGCTGCCGATGCCCTGGCCAAGATCACAGGTAAAGATGAGAGTGGCGACGTGGAGGACGTTCTAGGGGTGGTCTTCGAAAAGTCAGTTGTCTTCATTTTCTTCTTCTTCATTTGGTCTTTTTCCTTTTCGTCTAACCCGTTCAAAAAGACGCCCTTCTGCGCTCTAAAACAAATGACATGGCTAATCACTGGGTGTGGTAACAGATTCTGCGTTGGGAAATGAAACACGACTGCTTAGCCCGAAGAAATTCTTCTGGTTGCTTTTGGCACTGCAACCGCAGTCTATACTTCCTTCCTCCCTTCCCTTCGGTTCGCTTTGCTGTTCCGCAGCCGAGGATCCTCGCGAGCATACTACTGGTTGGTCCCTGCTTTCTCATTCACATCGTTATACCCGCCCCGGCCTTGCATATCCATCTGTTCGGCTGCGGTCGAGGTCGCGGTGGATGTTGATGACGTCGGGGTGTTATACCCGCCTCGACCCATGGAGTCCATGGTCAAAGGAGGTTCTGTGGATGGACCCATTTTCTGGGGTATCACAGCGATGGGCGGGGATGCTGAAGATGTGGCCGTACACATGAAAGGTTGGTTGAGGGGATGAGTTGCGGATGAGGACCGTGTCTTCGTGTGTGAATGGGGAGGCGCAGTTTGCAAGTTTGTCGCGGAAAGTACTGTATGTCAGACACCGACCGACCTGGGTCTAGGTAACGTCTTGAAGATAGGCTGGAGCAGGAAAGTTGAAATCCGCATGGGGATCCAAGCCAGCGACACGGATGTATTTCACAGAAGGTCGATGAGAGAGAGGAAAATAGCCATCATGGCCTCTCGATCCCATCCATGCTTTTATAGACTTCGTTCATTTGACTTTGAGATCTCTACACACAAAGAGCTACACACGCCCAACTCGCCATGGATAAGGAGGACTCAGGAGCGAGATCATTGGGACAACACAGTTAGGTATGAAAGGTATTCCCTGATAATACTTGATTGTCTCTCCACATCTAAGGCCATTGGCCTTACCAGGCGTTCGTTTGCCACGGACCATCGTGCCGGGAACGCTCACCTTGTTGTCCCTTGCTCTGCCGCTGCTTGAGTGGCTCTGTTTGGGAATAGTTAAGACATGTTTTAGCCTTAGTCACAATGATGTTATTGATGCGGTGTGCGCCAAATTGTGCTGCAAAGCGCTGGGTTGGGACCCAATTCATTGCGCAAGTAGGCTAAGGCCGATATGTGCATCCCTGGGACCCCGTAGTAGCGAGAATTGCAAGGGGTGGATGTGTTGAATGAATGACGCAACAGAATTAACACAAGCTCTGGGCCTGATCACAGGCCTTTCTGCATTGTGATCTCGCTCACACAAATGTTTACTTATACCTCTTACACGGCAAGCTCAAATGCTTCACCCTCCAACGCCGTGTATACTGACGAGAGAGACGATTCTGAGTCCCAGTCTTCATCCTCCTCGGATTCCCTTTGATACACTGGGATTGACATCCATATTGGAGACAAGGAGTACCTGACATACCGCGGGTCGATGACTGAGCTTGGCGATTCCGGCGAGAAAGTCGGTGCTTTCGTTCGAGCGAATGCTGTCTCCAAGGGAAGACTGACCCCTCGGTGTTTCCTAGATGAGTCAAGGAGGGGTCGCGCGCTAGACCTAAGCATCGAAGCTTCGTTCGCGGGAACAAACGCCGGTTCTTTTACGAGAAAGGCACCTGGCATGCTACTGGGTCCCAAGGATCCATGCTTAGGGCTGGCTTCTCGACGCATATGTTCCGGGGTATGGGATCGGCTCGTGGGTAGCCCTTGTTCTAACGTCCCGGGTAGTTCCTGGGGGATTATGGTTGCTTTCGGAGCGGCATGGGTCTCAATTGGAGAATCGGACCAGAAAACTGGGGCTGGTCGATGCAAAGCTTGATCGTGTTTCTCTGCTGGCAAAGAAAAGGTCCAAGAAGGCACGAAGTCAAGCCTCGACGGAGTTAGCTGGTGTATCCGATGCAACAGGCTCTGCACCTCCAGCTTTCGCTCTTCGGAGATGTTCGCCGAAGGGGCAAAGCCAATTCGGTCCACCGTAAGACCTAAACTAGCATCCTCCTTTGCTGATGCGGCATCGCAAGAGAGGAGTAACCGCAGTACGTCAGGGTGTCCGTAGTAGGCGGCATGCCGGTAGGGCGGCCAGCCTCTTTCATCGCGCTTGGCGGCCAATGCACCTCGTTGAAGCAATAGGCTGACCACAGAAAGATGCCCTCCCATTGCTGCTAGACACAAAGGGGAATCCTCCTCGGACATCTCTTCGTATGGTAGATAGATAGGTGACCCTCGATCTAGGAAGTTTTGCACGGCAGCGGCATGACCATACCGACATGCCACGCAGAGCGCACGATCTCCCACAGAGTCGCGAGCTTTCAGAGAAGCTCCCTTGTCGCAAAGCAAATTGAGTAGGCCCATAGATCCGTCAGCAGCCGCTATGTGGACAGATCTCCGTAAGTCGGGGCTAACACAAGCTTCTATATCGGCGCCAGAGATGAGCAGCAATCTGGCGACATCCAAGCTGTTTGCCATACATGCGTAGTGAAGTGGCGTGAAGCCGGTGTTGCAGCGAGCTTCCAAAGGCATGTTCTTCCGAATGAGATGCTCAACGACTGCGAATTGTCCGTTCATCGCTGCTAGATGGAGGACCGTTCGACCAGCGATGTTTGTTTTGGCCAATACAGTCTTCTTTAGGCTCAATGCATTCACAACCTCGCTATGTCCGTTGAAAGCGGCCCAGTGCAAGGCCGTCATTGAAGCATCATCGACGCATCGAACCGAGGCCTTCCGCTTCAACAGCAATTGGACTGCAGACAGTTGACCTGTAGCGGCTGCGCAGATGAGAGGTGTTCTGCGATCATTTCCAGCCGCATCGACATTCGCTTTATTATCAAGGAGTATCTCAATGGCTTTGAGATGACCAGCCTCGGAAGCATAATGCAATGCCGTCATCATCATTCCGTCCCTCGCTTCCACGTCTGCACCTGCTGAAACCAGGAGGTGAATGATCGCTGCATCACCTTGTTTTGCGGCAGCATGCAGCGCAGTAGTCTGGCTGTCTGCTCGCGCATTGAGCTTAGCATGGCATGCAATCAGCAGGCGCGTCGCATCAACGTGGCCATAGTACGCTGCCAGCCAGAGGGCTGTTTGGCCGTTAGAGTTCCGCACGTCGATATCTAGACATTCAGGTAGAAGCAGCTCCATGATGTTACAGTGACCGCGGGAAGCTGCTAGATGCAACGCCGTCGATCCGGATTTATCGGTGGCATCCACTCGCGCGTTCTTTTGAAGCAACAGCTCTACCACTTCTTCGTTTGCGTTCTGAGATGCGACGAGTAATGCCGTTCGGCGAGTGGAGATGTGACGGGCTTCAATATCATGGCCGTTGTCGAGAAGTTGCGCAATGTCGGCTCGAGACCCGGTCTGAGATAATCTAACTAACAGCGGTGCAGTTGAGTTATCGGCTGAGGTCAAGTCGTTACTCGTCCCTATGTTCCTCGCATAGATCCGTCGCTCCGTGCGACTACGAGCGGGGCAAGATGGAGTTGTTGCGGACCAGCTAGGTCGTCCGAACTGTCGAATGATGGACCGGATTCTCTCACGTCGGGAGCCCGATGTGCGAGAGACCCGCGACAAGCCAGTCACATCCGATTGCCATCGGCGTGTCTGGGTGGGACTCGAATTAAGGGGTTGCGGAGTATGAGATACGCTCCGCTTGTGACCTTGAGAGGAGCCAGTTGTCGTAGGAGACAGGCGGAGTGGAAGCACCAGGCAATTTGTTTCCGATGTCTGGAAGCCCGACGCAGCTTCGGCAAACTGCCTTTCGCACGGAGTACTGCTGTTCCTACGATCACGGCGAGAAAGAGGAATCTCTGTCGTGGTTGCGAGAGCTTCTAGTGGCTGAGAAGGCTGCGTATCGGGGAGGCCATTCCTCCAGACCTCTTCGAATTCAGATCGAGTGCTCACTGGGGCGGATGAGCGACGATTCATGCTGCCAGGCGCTGGGCGAGAGGATGCGTAGTCACTAAATGTCCGCCGGTTTGTATCGTCCTGGTAAAGCTTGTGAATTGTTCTGCGGTTGTCTGTTCGTCGTAATGGATGGTAGACCGGCTCCGAAGAGGTCTGACTGGGCTGGTTTCGCATCAACCGAGTCATTGGTCATTGAGACTTTTCTGCAGTAGAGCAGAGAAAGAGAGAAGAAACGGCTGTTCAAGTCTCAGCCGAACGTCCATGGTGTCAACATGAGTTATCTATCTGGTTTATCTCCCACTCCTGGCGCATGCTCGGAACCCAATCTGTGCAGCGTCATGGCCCGATGTGCCAAGTGTCAGCGCAGTTTGCATTCAATTGTCCGGGAGAGCTTCCTTGACTGCAGGGCTACTGCTCAGCTCGATCTAGAGCATTGACTTGTACGTGGCCCAATCATGCAGCGGTGTGATGTCAGCTTCTCACTGAAGCAATTGTCAACACATCGGTCGGGGGAAATACGGCGGGTCAGATCTGCAGGAAGAGGAGGAAGTGGAGGAGGAGGAGGAGGAGGAAGAAGAAGTAGAAGAAGATCGGTCGGCCCGCGGGACCTGAAGAGGAAGTACTTTACTATACATAATTATACTACCCAGTTCAGTAGTCTCCAGCCTATATACATACGTACAGTACATCCATCCATAACATGCATACATGCAGAGATTCCTCAGCTCATCCTCCACCGATCTTTCTACTACCGTCTCACACCCATCCACACACCCTCATTGAAACCAATGACTCCAAAGGCTGGAAAGAAGATATGGTATGACTGGACATTTTTACTTTCTTTCTTTCTGTTGCTTTTTCTCTTTGCTTTTCTTTTCTTTTTGTTTTTTGACCTCTCTCCTCCCTCCAAAAGAGCACCGATCACACTAGGCTACTCCAGACGGTCGTACCGATTACCTTCCTGCATGTTCGGAGGCAGCTGCCTTCCTGATCTCCGAATTGGCTTTCCCTCAAAACATCGCAGGCCCGAATCCAGCCCGTACGCCAGGTGAACGGCCTATGGTCAGCACCACGGTAAACTTTACGCTGGTGGCTGGTTGAGCACAACGCCTCCAAGGGACGGAGGGCCTTATTCCAGCCGCTACGCGAGAAGAAATTCAATATCAAGAGGGTTCTGAGCCAAATGGCGGTGGCCGCCTGTTCATGGGAGCGTGTCATCGATCTCCTCCCGGAACTTTATCCACGTACGAGGTACTGTACAGTGGTACTAATCGGTTGGTCGCCTCACAGGACACGATCACCACCTCCTGTGCTCAATGAAGCTGGGATACACATCGATCAGGCTTGCGTTTTCCTCGGCCTTTCCCTCGGACACTGGTCGATGGCCTCCTCCCCTCAAGGCTGGCTGTCCTGGCACGCCTGGCACGCCTGCGCGTTGATGGCGCATTGATGGCGCCTTTACGAAGAAGAGAAGGCCTTTACGGAGTAGGCATGGTACTTGGACTGACTGTGCAGACTGAGTACGTAGTACGACGTATGCGTGAGCAATTCCGTAGTAGTAATCGCACGTACAGTACGGAATATGGAATAAACAGCGCGACTCCGCAACCTTGTTCTGGCCGGACCCCAATCAGAGAACAGCCCTCACTTTTTGTCTTTCCGCACACCGTCAAGAAAGTACGGCGTTGGACTCGTACTTACTATTTATCCACCGTACTGTACCTACACATAACATTAGTTTCTATCTACGCGGGGGTGGGAATCATCGTTTTTTACCTACTGTCCTCTGTCCCTAAATTCCTATCGTACATAAAACGTCCTCACAGCTTCCATACCGCCCAGTCCTTCAGATCTAGCTCTTTGATGATCCCTCGAAGTGGTCCCTGTAACTCCATTCCCTCGGCCCACAGCTTAGGTCCTGCCATATAACTGATGAAGCCTTCTGGCCCAGACACAAGGATCAGATTGTCTTGACTGGGCTTGGGAGACGACAAGCCGACCGACTTAGTGAAATCCAGGATCGCCTGCTTGCCAATGGCACTACCTTCTTCGTCGACAAAATAGTCCACGGTCATCTGGCCAGGATACTGTGCCCGGAGAGCCTCCAGCTCTCGAACAATGAGGGAGCGAGTCTGATTGAGGGGCGATGCGACCGGAGCTGGGCTGGCTGCTGGGGGAGTTGAACGACCAAAAAACCACGACCTCTGCGGAGCTGGAACCACTACTGTGTCATTGATTCCCCCAGAACAGTCGTCACGGTTTCGGTTAGCCCAAAGAATATGAATTCTAGGTTTACGAGTCTGATCCGTGCGACGCAGAAGAGTGTGTGCGGCTTGCAACGCCGGGGCAATTCCGGTCCCACCAGCAACGAAGAGAATGTGTTGCGTGTTCGGTGGGATCCCGCATTCGACCCTCGGGCCACGCACTTCTATGGGTGCGCCCATATCGAGGTTGTGGAGATAGCGGGAAACTTCGCCATGGGGGTCTCGCCGGATGAAGAACCGCAAACATTCGTCCTCCTCTTCCTCTGGCGAGGTTGAGGGAAGGGGCGTATAATCTCTTCCGATCTGCAGCTGGGGCTGTTTGAACATCACGCTCCATATCCCCGTTGTCCATGCTTCCTCATAAACGGCGCGGTTGCTCCCATCTGCCTTAGGTGGCTGTAGAGTGAATATGCTTCCCGACGATGACACGGGCTCCCGCGATACTAAATAGTACGGGGTGAATCGAGTGGGAGACAAGGTTGATGACCCAGAGCCCTGTTCAGATCTGATGTATGCGCCAATCCCGGCGGCAGCCGTTGTAACGAGGGCCACTTGCACCCATCGACGTGATCTTGGTGGCGGCGAAGAGGAGGAGGAGGCGGAGGATGCGGAGGCGGAGGAAGAGGAAGAGGTATGAAATTGGGGGCTTCTCGTCAGCAGCCTTCCACCGATGGAGGACACATTGTATCGAGAAAAGCCCTGACTGAAAATTCGGGGCTTCATGGGTGAAGGGAGAGAGAAGAGAATCGAGAGCATGGGAAAAGTAGCCCGTAGAAACCGGCGAAGCTATAAAAAGTTGATTAAAATTCAGGGACTGGAGATCCCTCGGCACTAAGCCGGATTGAGGCAACCACACACCCTGTCTGTCTGTGCTCATTTCACTTACCATCCATCTCTCCCAAGTAGTTACTTACTCAACTCATTGATTTATTGATTTAATCATTCATTCATCTATTCATCTCTAAATCTCTCCACCCTACCCTTGCTCCCAATTATACTTGGTTCCTCTCTAGTTCTCTTCTTTCGTCCTTTGCTTCTTCTGTGTTTAGTGTTGTTTGTTATTTGTCTTTATTACGGATACAACGTCACTCATCGCACGACCCTTCATATTGGCATGGACACAGCCCGTGCTCTGTCACTGCTCGCCATCCACCTCCGCTTCACTCAAAGATACTAATCGCCCCTGATCACTGGTGAAAGGCATGTCCCAGATAGCCTTTTCCAACCTCGGATCGAGGTCGGACAGTTACCATGCACCACCCCGGGATTCTCTAGAGCTCGCCTCGCTAGCGTCATCGCCAGATTCCGGTCCTCGATCTTCCTGCTCCTCCTCTCCCTCGGGCATTTCCTCTTCGCGCAAGCTCTCCCTAGACGAAGAAGATCCTTTATCCAGTACTCAGCTCCCCGCGCAATCTTCCTCCAGTCGACCTCGATCCGCGCGCTCATACTCAGTCTCCTCCGCTTTCGATTTTGGGGCGACGCTCTTTCCCTTATCGCAGACCACGGGCGGGTATGCCCCCTTGGGAGCCCCATCCGCCTTGGACGGAGAGGCTGGCCTCGCTGACGGATCGCTGGAGCGCAACAAGACCTTGACCTACTTGAATGGTCTGTCCCTCGTGGTTGGACTGGTCATTGGCTCCGGAATCTTCTCCTCTCCTAGCCAGGTCAATGTCAATGCGGGTTCGCCAGGCGCGTCGCTCATTGCGTGGGTGGTTGCTGGGTTGCTGGCATGGACCGGAGCAGCCAGCTATGCAGAGCTGGGCGGAGCTATCCCGCTGAATGGAGGTTCTCAGGTGTATCTTGCAAAAATCTTCGGGGAATTGGCGGGTTTTCTGTTCACCTGGTGTGCTGTTCTCGTGTTGAAGCCCGGTAGCGCTGCCATCATCGCCATCATTTTCGGAGAGTATGTCGTGCGTGCAGTAGTGGGAGCTGAGGTCGAATCCATCAGCCCATGGATAAACAAGGCCGTTGCCTTTGGTGGACTCTTTGTTGTGACTCTGCTGAATTGCATCTCTACACGGGTAGCCGCACGCATTGGAGACTTGTTCATGTTCTTCAAGTTCGTTGCATTGCTGGCTGTCACAATTATTGGCATAGTGGTAGCTATCACAGGTCTCTCTTCAACTGGAAGTGCCAACAAGGAGTGGAAGACTGGTTGGTTTGAGGGTACGAATATCGACGTTTCCGCATGGGCGCTGGCTTTGTACGCGGGGCTTTGGGCATTCGATGGCTGGGATAACGTATGCCTTCCCTCCTATACTCCTCATGCCATTGCAAATCTTAACACGAGCCCTTCTAGACCAACTATGTTACCGGGGAATTCAAAAACCCGAACCGCGACCTGCCACGGGTTATTCACACGGCCATGCCGTTAGTCATTCTATCTTACATCCTTGCCAACGTCGCCTACATCCTCGTTTTACCCCAAGCGACCATTGAAGCGAGCAATACCATCGCGGTGCAGTTCGGCGACAAAGTCTTTGGTCACGTGGGTGCTCTCATCTTCGCACTGATTGTGTCCGCAAGTTGTTTCGGTGCCCTGAACGCCACGACCTTCACCAGTGGTCGATTGGTCTACGCGGCCGGAAAAGAAGGTTACCTACCCGAAGTCTTTGGTACATTGTGGACTCGCGACATTTCCTCCTCCAACCGCCTCCAACACCGGTCTTGGTTGAGCAAGTCGCTTTCCCGGCTGTGCGGCGCCGGCACGCAGATCGGGTTCACCCCCATCAATGCGATGGCCCTCAATAGTGCTCTCACTGTGGTCTATATCGTTGTCGGCGAGTTCAAGACGCTCGTCACGTTCTACGGAGTCGCGGGCTACACATTCTATTTTCTCACGGTGTTAGGCTTGATCGTGCTCCGGGTGCGCGAGCCGTACTTGCAACGACCTTACAAGACCTGGATTTCGACTCCGATCATCTTCTGCTGTGTGAGTCTGTTTCTGCTCAGCCGCGCCGTCATTGCAGAACCTTTGCAGACCTTGATTGTGGTCGCTTTCATAATCGCTGGTGTTCCCGTCTACTACTGGCGTATTTACAAACGTGACGGACACAAGGCGCTGCCCAGCTGGAAATTCTGGCAGCGAACTTCTCGGTGACATTCTCCTTTTCATGATTGACCGACCTCCCTAATGCCCGACCTCCTCAACTATTTAATTTCATTCATATTATTCGCTGTAGCTTTGCTGTGCACCTCGTTTTCTGTTGTGCATTATATTCAAGGGAAGTTTGCATCGGACGAGAAGACGGACTGTGTTGTGGAGCCCCTACGACTTGATGATACCCATTCGCTTTCCTAGCCTACTTGTGGTCAAGGAGAGCGGGGGACCTTGCGGCTTTCCTTTTCTATAAAGGTTATATCTTAATTGCTTACTTTGGGCCACAAATGGACACCGCTCGAAGAACGAGCGAGGCGAGTCTCATTCTGGTCCCCGAGGGCTTTTTCCTTAAATCTTCATGAATCATCGTCATTGATATAGAGATTCGGAGCATGAGTTGACACGATTGCATTCTGTTTATGTGAATCAAGCATTCCCCAAACACATATGTATGATAGAGAATATAATATTGATTAATACTTAGATGAAATCTTATGTGCCTCGATCACCTCCGCTTGCAGTGATCATGTCGCAGCCAGCCCGTCCCATATATTTGCTTCCAAGAGAACGGCAGGACTATCCTCCACCGCAGATTGCGACTGAACATCTCGTCCCATTGCGAAGAACTGCAGTATTGACCGCTTCTGGTCGGCCGGCATGAGATAGACTCGGGTGGAGATGACCGTTCTCTCGTTGATGAAGACTTCCAGTACACTCGTGTCCCAGAATGCATGGATCCGGAGCGTCTCCTCCCGTATCTCCCCTTGCTCGGTCTCATACGTGAAGAGAGTATGCGGCGCACTCTCCGGGTCATGGTCTATCTCAGGATTGGTAGGTGAAGGGCGGGTGATGACGAACGTCTCTTGATCTACGTTCCACAACAAAGTAGTACGGCGTTGAGCATCTATGCTAGACGTCAGCAAAAGGCCAGAAATTTCCAATGGTCGATATTACAAGCGCCATACCTATGCCGTGATCTATGAACAGTCCCACTTGGCTGCAGTTCTTTCTGACGGATATCTCGGCCTGAAGTTCCCACTTGCTCGTCGTTAGAGAGACGCGGGTGCCTGGCGATGCACCCTGACCGGCCGGGTTGTGTAGCAAGATATCCGCTAGGTAGCTTCTGTGCGCATTGCTTCGGAGCTTCTCGACTCTAGCGTCCGGCCTGATACCCAGGGTGCGAACGGTGCATGTCCCTCGGGAATCAGCTTCGGACTCTATAGATGTGATGGCAGTGAGATCCGCGCCGCGCGCGCGCTTCACGTGGTGCAGTGTCACAAGATTCACGACCCTGGGGATAGAAAGTGTCCCACTCCATCCTTGCCGATGCCGAATGTCATCGGGGAGACTGTCTTCTGCGATCCAACAGTACACGACGTGCTGTGAGGTGACGGGATCCCAGAACGAATTGGCCGCGTATCCGCAGCCATGGTCAAATATTCCCGAGTAGGCATATGTAGCAAGGGGCTGCTCTGGCGTCCGGATTCCTGGAGAGGTCTCGATAGACATCCAAAGCTGTGCTCTAGCTGCTCTTCTACGAGGCTTGCCTCGGTTGGAAACACCCTCGGCCCCCATGATGATGAAGTTGCGGGGTCGGTTCTGGTCGTCTGTTAGCGAGACGAAATTCGCGACCTCCCAGTTGACCCCTAGGTCGCCCGACCACCGGGATGGCCGAGTGTGAAGTCCAATGTGAGCCACGTATCCTACATAGCTCCACTCTCGCAGATCTTTGGGGTTGACTGAGTAGACAAAGACAGTCGGGGTCTCCCCGACAATGCCACCGGAAACGAACCCACACAGATCCGAAGATGCGAGGGCTCCCGGCTGCTGTAGGATCAATGGCCATTGGGCGATGAAAGGGTCCCTCCAGCCTGTGACATAAAGATGATCAGGGGGCCTTGGTACGATTGGATTGCATTCAAGACGCTGCCATGTTGTCCCTCCGTCGGTGGAAGTGGCAAGACTGATCGATTCGGAGCCGACCACATAGGGTCGCGCATAATGAATGGGCAAGCATTTCACTGAGGTATATATTGCGGTGAGGGCCCCAGACTCTCCATGGATCGTACCAGGTCTCCGGCACCCAGTGAACACGCCGCACCGGTCATACTCGGCTGAGGGAGCCAGGCACGGCTCCTGGGCTTGTTTCCAGGTGAGCAGATCAGATGAGGTACATTGTGCCCACGATATATTGCCCCAATCATTTCCCTTAGGGTTCCATTGAAACGACAGGTGATAGAGACCAGTGGTGGGATCGTATGTCAACCCACAAGGGTCATTCAGCCATCCACTGGGTGCCGTGATGTGGAACGATGGGCGCCACTGTTCGGTCTGATCAGAAAATGTCTCTTGATGGAGAAGGCTCCTGGAATCTGACAAGGATGGGGGGCAGTGCATGACGGCGATATAGGATCAGAATATGCTCGTATCGCTGCAATATGCAGCCGTATACGTTTATAAACACATAGCTTGAAGCTGGACCAACACCTCCCGGCGGTTCCTCGGGAAAACTCGTCCTCGTCATCCGCCAGCTAGCTCGAGCTCAACTTTCCAATTATCATTGCCCTCTCTCAAAATATGTCACTAAAGCACAAGTTTCTTTTTATCTAGGTTGTCCATCATTACTTCCATTTTATGTTAGTGGCATCAACACGCTGGAGCCCA